CGAGAATTACGTTTCGCGGTAGCCGGTGTATATGTCTATATAAGCGTAAGTGGGTTAATTAAAATCTTCGGCGAAGTGTTTCACCGACTGCGTCTACTATCTGACAGATTTATCGTTAATCGTCACTAACCAAGAATAATCGACGGACACAATAACGGCCGGTGTTTTAAATCTATCTATTGTCTGCCTCAATCTCAGGACCGACTTGAGACTACCAGGCATCTTTTCTCGATATAAAAACTAAGCATAATATAAGAATCGAGAAAAAACTAATTTAAAATGAAATGATTTCTTTGAGCGTAAATTGTGCTAAATTCATTATTTGTAAAATCTATTTTTAATATAAAATTGTACATCTTAAAATTGATCTTATGAATTATAGAAATTACGAATTATTCTCATTCTTTTCGATTCCTTTTTTAATTTTGATGTTAAAAAAATGTATTGCTGCTTCTATTGCTGCAAAAATTCGTCTTGAGCGTTTCTGAAAAATGCACTATTTAATAAAATGCATTCTTTTTTAAATCCTTCATGCGTAAAACACGTTGCTTCACGTTTGCATTAATGCACCTACACTGAATGCTGCGCTTCGCTCTCGTCACCGACGCATTACGCTTGATTTCCGCTTCCGTTCTCTATAGCCGCGGTCGCGCGAACGAAGAATAACACCTGCTCGAATTGCGATTTGCCGCGCACGGTCAGAATAACAATGTGATACAAGGAATTACCTACATTTAAATAAATATTATCTAAATAAATACTACAAATTATATTAAAAACACAAAAAATTTAATGACTATAAAGAGTGTGAAATTCTCTTCCCCTCTCGATTTCTTCATTTTATCTCATTGAAAAATAAAAGGTAATATAAGAGAAAAAAAATTAAAAAATCTCCTATTCTCATGGATCCTCCTTTTCTTATTGTTACTACATGATTGCTATTCCTTTGCATAAATGTATTATTCATAGCACAAAACGAATCTTGATCAAATAGAAAAAATTCAATGATCAAATCAATAATCAATAATTTACACAAGAAAAATACAATAGATTTTGCGACCAAATCGGGCAAAGAAAGAGAGAGAAAAATAAGTCCTATCTTTTCGTGTAATCGAGCCAATATCTGTACCTGCAAAGCATAATAGAAGGTGGTTCGAAAGTGGCTGCGGAAAGGATTGCTGTCCCTTTCGTTTCCGCCGAATCAGCAGCAACCTCTTTTTCTTGTCTTTGAATCAATACGTGGACATTTTGGGGCAACTTTATCACCTGGCGACAATTCCTCTTTTTCTCGGAGAGATCTCGATTGATTTAATTATCAATCAAGACAACAACAATGCAATAAACAATTGCATTCTTAAATAAACACTATTCATTTAAATATTAATTGAATGTACAAAATTTACATAACGATTTAGCTTGAATCTTCCAGCCTTTGCGTGAAATACGCTACTCGAGTAATATCAAATAAAAAATTCAGAATAAACAAACTGCTAAATAATAACTGATGGTAATTTTAATACTATCAAAGCAAATTTACGTACGAGAATTTAGTCATATAATATGGTGCACGAAAGACTATGCATTAATGCTTAAAAGGACGAGGAAAAGGGAGAATGTCAGTGCAGGGGGCCTGATCGTAAAAATAAAATATTCAACTGTAGTGTTTACGCAAATGTATTGCCACAAAATGTACAATATAACTGCAGGTAACTGCGACAACGAGCCATTATGAGTACTAGGGTGCGTGATAAAAAATGCTGGATCTAATATAATACTGGAAGAAGTCCCCCGTGATAACACGTCATCGAATTTTATCCCCTTTAACCCACGGTCTCGTACGTACGTCACGTACACGTTACATAATGCGCGAGAGAGGTATGCTCTCTAAAAATTTATACAAAACTTACAAACAAAACTTTCCAATCAAATAGCGTGCTTAACTATCGTGCCTAACATCAAACTAACAATTCGTCAAATATTAATGTAAATCGTATCTATGCTCTCTTATAATTTATTTCTTACCAAATTTATCTCGATCATCTCGGTGATATTGTGATATTTATAACATAATTGCTACACACAAGATATATAATATATATAAAATTGAATTACTTGTTTATTTAATACACACATCATGCGGAACTTGGAATACGAATCGTAACCGAAGCATGTTCAACACCAATCGATCGTTCCTTAAATTTTTTACGTGAACAATTTGTTCGCATTTTCATAAAAATATAACGTTAAAATACCTAACAACAAATACAGAAAGTGTATTTCTGATTTCTCTCTACGACTAAAAATATCAAATAAAATATCAATCGATTTTTCATGTACGGCTAAACCAGAGATTTTTCAAACATATTTTTTTAGAAACACGTTCTCGGAATATATCACATAGTTTAAATCTGTGGTAAGAAGGAAATATATGTATCAAAACCAAAAAATTTACATGGTGTGTGGTGATGACAGCGTTTCACGCTAAATATATACAGAAATATAGAACCGAAAAAGATGCTATATTCTTTATAAAAAATTGTAAAATCAGTTAAAAGAATTTTATAGCTAAACTGTGGTTATATGATATCATATCGATGTAAACAGTCCTAGAGTGTTTTAATTAACGAATATCTCGAAAATTAAATAAGGTATCAAGAGTATTTGTAGATATTAAACATATTTTTCTAATTCTATTTACATAGAAAATGATGAAATAAATGAAATAAGCCAATACAATCACCAAAGTTTTTCGCACAATTTTTTGTACTTTTAATTGTATTTTTTAATATTCCCTTTTTCTCTCATCTTTCTTATTTCTCTTCTTTCCCCTCGTCTTCTTCCCTACTTCTCTCTTTCTCTCTCCCTCTCACTCTCTCTCTTATATAAAAAAGAAATTTAGTCTTTCATGTAAAGAAAAACGAAAAAAGAATGTAAGGTATAGAAAGTGCAACTGAAATTAATAAAAAATTTGCAGGCAAGCAAGGGGGATGCGCTTTGCTCCTCGCGCAGTTACTGTGACCGAGTCACGCCGCCGCTTGGGGTCAATAACACTCAATATTCCCCTAGGAAGCAGCCCTAACCTTTGGTTAGGGGGTAGTCTTTACCCCCATGTCCCTCAATGGGGAACGTAACCCACGCGAAATACCACGTATCCGAGGAGGGTGGATCGCGTCGCGGTAATTCTCGGAACGATCGATCGGAGTTGCATGGATCGTCAAATAAATGGACGCGAGGCGCGTCCCTTCTCATATGTGTGTATATGGCCGCTCGCGATTCGTGTCACAATAAGATATCTTCCTTTATTTCCCTTTTCTTTTTTTTAATTACATCGCTGACACTCACCAGATATTGCGCGTAATGTTTATGCTTAACGAAGGAGGAGGGACGCCTCTTCTTCTTGCTGGAGTTAGCGGCGGCAGATGTGGCGAGGGTGTAGAGCTTGTCGCCGGACTTCTCCTTGCGGGGCGTCGAGTGGTTCGACTTGTTCGCGGGCATCGCGCGTGTATACGCTCACTTTGTCCCCAGTTGCTTCACCGGCAATTGGCGGGCCTTTCTTTACAGCCGCACGACGAGCCGTAGCCGTCAACGACAATCACTGAAAACGTGCTTTAGCGGTCCAGCGATGAGGGGAGCAGACGGATACGATTGATAACACGGACCGAAACTTTCCTACTACACTCTATCTATACAGGCTATGCACGCAGGTACACGTGCGCGCCGCTGTGTGCGCGCCTATGATGCACGCTCGGGCTACGTTCGGCCCGAAGCCACGCCTCCCGCACGGTTGTTCGACGGACCGCCAAATCGTTTGAATTTTGTGGCGCTTTAAAACAGCCCGAAAATTATAAAGCGGAAAAACAACTTAAGAAATCCCCTTGTATGTATATTTTACACGTACATGATTTTACACGATGGTGTTACAGATAATTTAGCTTAGAAAAGAAGTAAATTAATAAACCGTCCTGTTCGTATCAGCTATTTAGAAATTAAATTCTCCATGAATACACTTAAAAGAGAACAATATATGATTAATATAATGATTTAGAAAAAAATTAATGTAGGTAATTGTGTAAAATGGCGATTGAGATCATAATCGATAAAGACAATCAAATTTTAACACATTATTAAAAGTAACGCATGCTTAAATAAATTGTAATATATCTATAATATACATAATGTGAATTATAGATTTTAGTACTGTTAATAAATTTTGGAACATACACATGCTTGTAGTCCATCGTTTTAATTACACTTTCTGCACTTTATTTAATTTCTCTTTTTTTCCTTATAGGTATCTGCTTATTTTTCAATACTAAAGTAAAAAATAGAAAGAGAGAGAGAGAGAGAGAGAGAGAGAGAGAGAACGAATGCTAATCAAATTTTAATCTCTATATTAATCTCTTATCATTAATATCTTATCATTAATCTCTTATCGTTAATCTCTTTATTACCGACTGTTTTATACATCTGCTTATTTTATTAATACCTTATTTGCTGAATGGAGATGGCAGGAGGGACATCGGTAAATTGTAGCTGCAAACATTCGTTCCAGTAGTAAGCTGCAACCAATAGAAACGCAGCCCAGGTTAAACACTTGTAAATAGTCGCGCTTGAAAAGCCCCCAGTTGATCAACATTGACACATGCGAATTCACTTGGCGTATCTCATATTATGAGATAGATTGCATACAGATAACATTAAAATATTGAAGAATTAGACTTATATTACGTTAGATCTATGATTATCTAGAATAGTAGTACGGAAAACCGACTGTGTCTCTATCTACCCGTTCTTACGTCTTCGAGAGATCAGAAACTCAAGACACGGGCGCGTCGATTGCCGCGCTCCCATTGGTCACGCGCCGGTCACTCGTCAGAGAGGCGAATAGCCGCGCGCGGAGCAACGTGCGCGCGCATACGAGAGAAAACGAAACTTGGCGCACACGACAGAACTACGGCGAGGGGGGAGGGCGGCTGAAACGGGCGGAGGAAAGAGAAGGAGGAGAGGGAGCGACGCGCGGCGGCAGACGGAGACAGTCGACTGGCCAAGAGTTGACCCGTGTTTCTGCGCTCGAGCGCGCCCGTTCCGCTCGCGATTCCCCATCCCCCGCCTGGGCAGGCGAGCAAACTTTAACGCCGCGGAGTCGCTGCCAGCCCGTTCGGTGTGTGTCGAGACTGTCGAGGCGTATTGCGCGTTCCCGAGAGAGTGTCGCGTCCCATCGCCGAAGCCCATCCATCAGTAGTGCCGTGTGTGTCTCGCGCGCGCGCTACCGTTCGCGGGAGGAAGAGAAAAGAAGAAGAGGAAAGAGTGCGCGGTGCAATTGCGTGCCGATATACACCGTAAGGTCGAGGCGAGGTAGTATGATGGTCTGATCGCGGTCTCAACATGACCGTGGATTTTGTCGACTACTTCTGGGTGAGTGATCTGAAGGAATCAATATGTTTCTCTCTCTTTCTCTATTTCGTTGCCTCTTTTCTACTTTCTCATTTTCTTTCCGTTCTCCCGTGTCTAATCTTCTGACAGGCGAAAGTGCGAAATGTCACTCTCGCCCAGTCTCGCCCAGTCGGTCAGCGCGCGTGAATCTAGGTTATGTCGCGGGAGAATGTATCCGTCCGCGCCGTGATCATCTCGCCGTCATGATTCTCGTCGACCCTGCCCTATCCTGCGCCCTTGCCCCCCCTCCCCCCCCGCGCGATCGTTATGCCTCTCGATGCCCGGCTCCGCTCCGGCGACGCGATATACTCGTCAATGAAGTCTCTCTCTCCTTCGTCCCCTTCCTGCCTGTCGTTTATTGTCCTCTCTCGTTCCTTGCCAAAACGTTTTATTGGCCTCTCTCTCTCTCTCTTTCTCTCCTCTTTATCTTTTCTTCCCTTTGTTTCTGATCCTTTTCTGATTTTCTTCCTACTTCCTCATTTATTCTTCCTCTTTTTCATTTTTCCCCTCGTTTTCAGTCCTCTCTCTCTCTCTCTCTCTCTCTCTTTCTCTCCTCTCTTTTCTTTCATTGACTTTTTATTTTCTCTCCTGTCCTTTGCTCTCTTCTACCTCCATCTCTTTCCTTTTTTTTTGTTTCTTTTCCCCTTCTCGTTTCCTCTCTTTCCCTCTTTTTCTTTCTCCTCTTTTCCTCTTTCTTCCCCTATTTCTTTTTCTCTCCGTCTCTTTCTTTCTCTTCCTACCCTCTCTTTCTCCTCTCTTTTACCTTCTATCTACATACTTGTACGTGCGCTTACATTCTCAACCGTTCATCGCGTGAAGCGTGTGTAGAAAAAAAAAAAAAGATATCCTCCACGCGCTCATTGACATGTGCGCTGCGTTCGTAGGTATGCAGCTTGCCAAGTCCCGGCTTACGCGTTTTTATGTGCGAAGTCGCAGGACACCTGCCGCGTGTCGGTTTCTCTCTCTCTCGCTGTTTATACCGTCTCGCAATTAGCCTCTAATTGCGGGAGCATTCACGCACGTTCCTTGCAACGTGTATCTCGGCGAGGATCTTCCAGGCGAACGTTGGAACGCTGGAAATTGCTCGCAAAAAGGAATCCTTTCCCAGGTCGGTCGTATCGAGTTCGCGGCTAACAATGAGACATTGAGTCTCATTGTTTCTCTCTCTCTCTCTCTCTCTCTCTCTCCCCCTCTCTCTCTGTCGTCTCTCAATGTCAAGTAGACATGAACAAAATCTGCCATTAATTTGCTCAATGCCGTTTCTAATGTTTATATTGCCTTTATAAAGCGGTATATTCATAGACCGACTTTATATTCAAGATTATTTTAATTCTAGTCACGGACAGTTTGAAAACACACCATTCAACTAATGAATGATGATACGAATGAAATGACCGTATTAGCGTCTCAAGTTCGTTTAAGATGATCTCGAATATAAGAATTATGAATACTGAATTATGAATACCGGTCTTACAATTAGAGTTTTATAAATGGATCTTTATGGTTATACGAGTATAATATCATTTATATGTATGAATATGTATGTGTGTGTACATATATGTATATATACATACATATATATAAACGGAGAGAATTTTATTTTAAAATTTACTTTAAAAATCATGTCAATCGTAGGACACCATAGTATGTATTTCGATGAATTTTATCTGATTTTTATTTTTTTTAATATATGCTACGACAAATTGTAGTGCTTAGTACAAAAAAACAGAGAAAATCACATAAAATTTATCAAAATACTATGTTGTCTCACAATTAATATGATTTTTAAGATAAAGTTTAAAAGAAAATTCTCTCCGTGTATATACACATATGTATACGTTAATGGTAAATGTAAAGAATATGCATATTTACTTATTTTTATTATTGTGACAAGAGAAGCATAATATTGTTAAAAAGTAATATAAATAAATCTGACTGTATATGTTTCGTCATGAGTTTACTTTAAGAACGCTAAACATTTATTTGAAGCCAATGCTACATATTCTTTTATCTGCAACTCTCAGAATGCACGGTTGTCGATAAGATAGTTGTCACTTCCTTTTTTTTGACACTGCAAGAGTGTCCCGTACAGGAGATTACTTCGTCTGGCTGCATAAGTTTCGCCATGGAGAGTTTCTTTTAAGTTTCTTACACGCTAAAAATTTATTTGAAGCCAATGCCATGGCCAAGCTACATGTTCTTATTTTATCTGCAACTCTTTCTCTCAAAACGCACGGTTGTCGATAAGATAGTTGTCACTTCCTTGTTTTGACACTGCGAGAATGTCCTGTATAGGAGATTACTTTATGATATTTAAAATATCAGGCATTGGCTGAGCATTGTGTTTGCGAGAGATTCTTTTACAATAAAATCAATGCAGAAAATTGAGACGTATAACTGCCGTGAGTAATCGGTACAATAGGATGACAAGGGCAATAATATGTAATGACAGCTTATTACGGCGACGTCACTTGAGCGATTCTGCTCAACGTGGATTTACCACATGATCAGAGTTCAAGTGTTAAACGGCTAAGTGGTCTTAAGTACCATTCCAATATAGTATGCAGTATATTTTTCAGTCGTGTTATATTCTAATTGCAAGACTTTTCTATACAGATTTTCTGATACAGAAATGATAATCTAACTGTAACTTTTTTTCTATTCTTTGTGCTAATTTTTCGATTTTTAAAAATTTAAAACAAAAGAAAGAAGCTATGTCACATTTGCAATTTTAATTATAAATTCTTTGATGAATATGGAATCAATTTTTTCTTAACAAAAATATCAAGCAAAGTCGTTACTCATCGTACTTTTTCATTTTTCACATTATATATCTTTATGATTTATCTTTGAATTAAAATTTCATTCAAGTCAATTAAAGTCTATTTGAAATTAAATGTGGAATATGAATTCGTTGTCTGTTTGCTTTATATTCGAAATTACCGAAAATCTTTTTCAATTGCTTGGAAACACTATTAGAGAATTAAAGTTTTCATTAAGAAAAAATTGATTTTTAATTTATTAGAGTTTATCATTAAAATGAAAGTAGTTAGTGTTATTAATAATATGAGTTATTAGTAGTATTTATGATTCTCTTGAGATTACATTCAGTTATATGTATACACAAATGTTATTAAATTAAATTTAGGGGCTTCTTCACTCTATTTGGTAAAAATGCAATTTTATGAGTGGATTAAATGAAAACATTTTGACGTTAAAATTATATTTATTTATACAGCTTTATATCCAGGAAATTACATAAAGTCACAATTTTCAATATTTTTATATTTTCTATGTAAAATGTTTACCGCCACATTTTGAACAGTGTGCAGTATAACTCTCAAAAACTAGATCTAAATATTAGATACCTTTTTAAATATATACTATTAAAATTTGATAAAAGAAGATTTAAATATTTTAATTTTCTGCAAAAATTTATATCTTTTTTAAGCTTTCCAAAACTTTTTTTAATGCAAAAAATTTTAATTTTTGCAGAAAACTAAAATAAAATTAAAATCTACCTTTATAGTAGATTCTGATAAATAGTACATACTTAAAAAATATTTAGATTTTATATTTTAAATGGATTCTTTACGATTATAAATAAGTTGAAAATCTTTATTTTTAGACGTATTGTTATATAAATAAATTTTCAATATCGAATTACCGTACGTTTTGTTCAATTCATTCTCAAAATAATATTTCCTCCATTGAACGATTAAAAGATCCTTGGGATAATTAAACTACAAGGAATACCATTTTATGAAACGATTTAAATTTGATAAATCGAATTTTAGAGTTAATTGAAACCGAATACTGAAGTACTTTTTTTATTATTCAAGGGCGAAAAGAACAATGGATTTGACGTGTTGTATCATAACATGAAGCATGGTGTAATCGCCAGCAAGGAATTGGCTGAATTTTTGCGGGAAAGATCGGCCATAGAGGAAAACAATTATAAACTCCTTAGTAAGGTAGCGAAGCAGGCGAGCAATAGCACGCAAGGGACATTCGCACCTGTATGGGCCGCTCTGAGAGGTGCCGCCGAGAAACTCGCCGTTTTACACTTCCAAATGGCCCAGCGGGTTTCCGAACTCATAAAAGATGTGTCAAAATATGCGGACGAACTGCACAAGAAACATAAGGCTGTACGTAATTGTATTTCTTTTTCTTGTTTACAACTCGTCGACTGATTACACCTTTTTATTGAAAAATCTTAATATATTTTTCTCATTAATTGCGGTCTTACAAACTAACAATGAGATACGATGTTATTCTTTATTCACGATTGCCACGCTTTGCTGCAAAATACAGTCAGATATACCGTGTCCCATAAATTATCAGTATCCGCCCACAGTTGGGTCAGTAGGTTCTCATCTCGTCAGACAATCGAATCGGCAATGTGCAGAGGTCTTATCTATCAAAGCGCGCGCACAGCATACACAACTAACTGCACTATTGAATTGATTCGCGTTAATTCTTAATCGGAATAGTTTAACTAGCGAATGGCAATACTGCTGTTATGTTGACGTGTACCGATAATAAATCTAGGTGAAGGAAGAAGAATCGTCTACTTTAGAAGTTGTACAAAGTATACAGAGCATTACGGTAACGTTACACAAGGCGAAGGACATGTGTATGCAAAAGCGCCTCGAGTTAGAGAAATTGAGGAAGGACAATGCCAGCCAGAGGGAATTGGAGAAGGCGGAGAGCAAATTCAAAAAGGCCCAAGACGATTACAGGACGCTGGTGGACAAGTACACGGTCATACGAAACGACTTCGAGGCAAAAATGACTCAGGCTTGCAGGGTACTAATTCTGGATTTAAAAAAAAAAAAAGCGTTAGAAGTTAGGCTTCGCGAGAATAAATATTGCTCTGCACGGGCGATTGAGCGATGCGTACTAATCAATGTACGTTTTCGTTACCAAGCGGTTCCAAGATGTGGAAGAGACGCATCTGAAGCACATGAAGGAATTTCTGAATACGTACGCTGACGTTTTGCAAACCAATCACGAGCAGGTCGGCCAGGTGCATATCGATTTCAAACGGCAATGCGTCGATATGACGGTGGAGAAGTTGTTAGAGCAATTCGTTCAGAGTAAATACACGGGTTTCGAGAAACCAGGTAAAGAGAATATTTAAGAGATTTCTTTCTTTCCTTCCCTTTCTTTCTCTGCCCCCGTTCTAATGGACAATGGTACGCCATTACGTGTCTGTAAATCAGGTGTGATCGAGTATGAGGAAGTTATGACGAGTTTAGCAGAAATGACCAGCCACTCGCAGTCGGAAGGCAGCGTAGAGACGCCTAAGGAAACGTCAAAGGGCACCAACGGCGAGACAGGCGTAGCCGGTAACAGTCACAGTTCAAAGAAAGATCAGGGATTAAAGGGGGAGGGTGGTACTTTGAGGGTACTGGACGGGGAAAGGGGAAGGGTGATATTGGAAAAGGATAGAGAAAAAGAAAGACAGAAGGAAAAGGACAGAGAACTGTCACATGCACAAACCACCAAGGCTTCCCGCCGTACTACCTCGCTACTCAACCTGTTCATGTCCAACTCCCAGGGTAGGTTTCTTTCTCTGTCTCTCTCTCTCTTTCATTGAAGTTACCATAGACTTTTTCGAAGTTTCTTTAATTGCAATAGTTTTTGAACCTACCTTGGCTTTGATGCAATGAGATGCTACATCTCGTACGAGACACGTTTTCTTCCCATTTCTCGTAACATTTTTACATTACATCGATACACCTTTACATCTTCATGTTGTTTCACAAAAAGACGAATGCGCTTTCGATCGTTTCGGACGAAATTAATTTTGTTATCATCCAGCGTTTACTCGTGAAACAAGTATCGGCATAGCATTGCAAATATGTCTGGGTAGGCATTTTTAATTTTATATCCGTTAGTACCATATCATTGATCACATTATACACTTGCCCAATTGAATTGCAGCACTCGATCACAGATATATCAATTCGAATAACGAGACGCAGTATAGTTTTTATCGATTTGTTTACGCTTATGTGGTTGTTGTGTTATACTTGCTTATGCGTAACGATCTAACATTAGGTGGAGGATGACATATAGAGTACCATTGTGTTCCAGGGGGTTTGTTTCAATTTTATTGTTAATTGTATTATCATATGTATATTGCAAATTATGTTCTCTTACATGTATATTAGGGGTACTTGTTAAAGATAACTTCACTATTTCGCTCATCCATGAGAAGTAAACAGACGAATAATGAATTAAATTTGCTCGCGCGGTTAATTATCGTGTGCAGGCAGAAAATTTAATGCAACTATATTTTCATATTTTTTTATGCAATTAGTACGATACTTAATATCTCTTTTCTGCCTCTGATTTTTGCATATTCGTGCATTAGTTGCTTTTGTGTTGTCGAGTATTACTGCAATTGTATGTGGCCGAGATGCGAAAATACATATATAGAGATATTACGTGGTCATTAAAAATCTATTCCCACCCCTCTGGAACGCTCTGAAATGCCAAGGTCATTAAAATTCGAATCGGTACAACTAACGTGCATAATAGTGCGACACGGAGCGAGAGGAAAAAAAAGGGCCATCAGTTGATGGGGAGGTGTTCAAAGACGTGAGAATGATGAGTGTTGTTTCAGACAAACAGAAGCAAGCAGGGTCGTCTGGTTCGGCACCTGCCACCCCTCAAGGGAACAACCTGCCTCCTGCTGTTCCACCTCCCAGCATCTCCAGGAACCCTCTCAGAGGATCTAAATGTAACAATTTACATTTTATTCCTATACCCCCTCTACCATACCCTCTCACATTGTTGTTAGAATACGGTATACAACATTAAATTAGAGATTACTGATACTGACGTTAGCTGCCGAGTACATAAAGTAATCGTATTCTGTATTCTTAATTTTCGCTGATACGACAATTAACGATTGCCATGCCTCTGTTCGTATGGTTTCTAACTTATCACGTTCTCTTTCTTTTATTGAAGATACTTGAAGAGTAACGAAACGTAAAATAACTTTGCACACCATTTTTCATCTATTGCCACATTCTTAATCGAGAAATTTTATGCGGACAATCTATTATATGTTGGCTCGAATATGAATGGTCAGTTATTAATTTTTGAAAATTTATAATGCGCGCGCGTGAAAACGTTTATCGTAAATATTGTCACATATAAATTCTCAAGTATTACCTTATTTTGTTATTTAAATTAAGAGGAAGGGGATTTATTTTCTTCCATAATTTACAACAGGATCAGTCTTATTCGAGCATTTCCCATGTAGATCTCTATGATGTTTCTCTATCGGTTGTTCTCTCTTTATGGTGCTCGGTGACAGTGACATTACTTCTTTTTAAATACCTCGTATATTTTCTGGTCGAACAGAACGTAAGTTGGTTAAATAAATTATGTCTACTGACTTATAGTGGTTGCGCGTATTATGATTCCTCCACTGTGCTCACTTTTAGAACAGCGATGTACGTATACTAACATTGTCCAAAACGCTTTAAATTAATGTTACAATTACATCCTCTCTTTCCATTCGAGCTAAACAATTATACATATTTTAACGTAACATTAATTTCTGCTTCACATGTAACACCAATGCAAAATATTTCTTCACTTTGATTTTATTTCCGCGTTTGAAATGGAGATTAAATTTGGAAAGATTCTTATTTTGATTAAAGGAAGAAATATTTTTAGTTTGCATTTTATTAACATTGGAAGACGCTTTTATAGAACATAGGCATATCTAGCATTAGAAATGTATGGGAGTCTAATTACTTTCGTATTTTCATAAAATTTCACCTATAAATTGTTTTTCTAACAATCTCTGTGGGAATATATACATATATTATCCGATTATATAGCGATATATACGATTTGCATCAATTGTTTTACACAACCACGATAAGGGGAAATCTATAAAATTAATGTATTTACACAGTCGAATCATCTACATCGAGTGCGTTCGGTTTGTTGTGAAATCACCATCTAAAAATACTTCGAACTTTTATATTTCTTTTTAGATATAACCGCGGAAGATTAAAGATTAAATAACATGTTGTTCACATAAATGTTGTAGCTCTCAATAGATGTGTTTAAACGTAGCTTCACTTTTGTCTTTCCGTTCATTTTTTTCCGTTTCTCATAAGATCAAGAATAAGTACATGAATGGGTCATACAATCGCGAGACACAGACAGACATCCATATATATATATATATATATATAAAACTTCTTTACATGTCATAAGTGATCCAAATGCTAACACGTACCGCTAATGACCATCCCGAATAGACTTGTAATTACACGGATTATAGCATATAATTCTGTTTCTAAAGTTCATTCTGTAACGTCAGTGCAGTGAGATAAAAATAAAAACAAAAGAAATATGACTAAACTAAAGGGAGTTGGACTTGAATAATGTTGAGATACAAGAGTGGGGTTGGCTACTGACGGGGCCTCAGGTGAGCCGTTTTTATGAAATTCCTAATTTGCATGGCTCACGTGTTTATTACTTACATATTTATTTTCCAAGTGCAGGAGAATATCTTTCTTTCTTTTCCAATAGCGTAATGTGATTCCGAAAGCAACTGTTACCCCGAACTATGTTTCTCGTCGATGACAGTCATTCCCGTAGCATCTTCCGCAGCATTCACGTTTTCATTTGATAGATTACGTTTTTTCTCGTGTAGAATATTTTTCTCTCTCTATCTATCTGTCTGTGGATTGTTCCTCTAAATATTTGTTGATTTTAATGTTCGAGACTATTTTTTTGCATGCAGTGTTAGATTGGCTTGCAGAGGACGTTGTGTCCCTCTGTGTATACAATCTTCCAAAGAGAGGCATGCACGGACGAGAATGTGCAAAAAAAAAAAAAGAAAATGAAACGAAATGCGTTTATTATAGTGTGTCAATGTAGGTTTAGTAATTGTTAGAAAAACAATTTAAGAAGAGAGTAGACGATGCAGATACAGTAGGACTTTTGATGGTGATGGTGCGTGGGATACCTTCATATTTCTACTAACGTGACGTGCTCTACTCCACTACTGAATTTTCTTTTCTGTATACCTCACTCTTTTTGCCATCTGCATCCTTCGTTTGACGTAGGTATTCACTTATTAGTTAGTCGTTATCTTACAAAGCGCTGACATGCATTTTCTCGAAAGATGATACTTGTATTGTAAAAAAAAAAAACATCGTTGGAGATGACGCTATTCTCAATAACGACGTAATTTAAAAAAAAAAAAAGAACATACGCAATTTAAATCAAGATAAATTTATATCCGTAATAGAGGCGTAGATTGATGTTTGCGAGGAAACTCGTGTCAGCATCATGAATGCAGAAGTTAGTTGATTAATTAGAAATGCATACAGGAATGCCAATTAATTATTAACGACATAGGAGGATTTGTTTTGTATTAGATGCTGTTTGATCATGTTGCGCTACATTTTGATCACTTGGAAAGTAAATTCTTCATTTCTCATTAGATTTTTATAAATGTACATTACGTACTGCTCATACAAATGTTGAAACGAAATATAACGATTCTTGTATTTTTTTTTTTTTTTTTTTTTTTATACAAGCAACAGCAGTTCTCGTTCAAACTACGCACTGTATATTCGAGTAGATACATATTCGTGTAGATAGTAATGCAACTATGTAGTTTTTGCTTTTTTCATTTTATTTATTTTATAGTTTAGTCGTGTTATTAAGTAGAAACACCAATATTCTACGATACTTTTTTAATGTCAGCATCGGATATTTTTCTATTATATTTTCGTGAGACTTAGTATCAATTCATACAAATATCTTATTTTCCTTCGTGCAAAATTCTATTTGTGCAGTGGAAAATAATGAAAATAGAATAATAGATGTTGGAATTTATTTCTAAGTATACATACATAAATACTTGATTAGTAGTGAATTTAACAGGAATTTTAGTACCTTAATTTCGCAGCTAGAGATGAATTCATAATTTGGTGTAACTGTAAGAGTGTAATTCGCATAAAGCATACGTTTTTTAAAAAAAAAAAAAAAAGGTAGCTAGTATACATATATCGCAGTACATATACCGTCCTATTGTCTACATTTGCGGTGTCCACGACCAACAGGGTTCCTACGCAGTAGGAGAGAAAAACGAAAGGAGAAGAAGGCGAAGAAGAAGAAGGACCTCGTGGACACAAGCAGCAACAAAGAAGAAAAGTCTGACCTGTCAGTACATGCATGCACAGCAGACCTAGTGCACATATGTATATATATATATATATATACATATATAGAGTCAGTTTCACAACCAGCAGACAAACTATCGATCTGTACTATGAAAACAGAAAAAGAAGTGTACATATTTAAGATTTTAATTTTTTAAATTAAACATACTCTCGCTGGATGTGAATCTATCAGACTCGGAATGCTTTGTTGTTGAATATTCTATTTGTCCGTCCGAGATATTGCATATTATAATTTTCTATCAATCATTATCAATCATGATATACAAGATATGTCTAAAATATTTGGAACATGAGTCTGCAAATGCTTTCTTTTAATATCGAATATCGTTGGATGCTAACGGTCAAATAAACTATTAAATATAGATGAGTGATTATCTGGAAGTTATCAAAACTAAATATTTAGTTGTTATTTTGTAAATTATCAACATTTCGAAAGCATATTTCTGAGTTATAAAATAGTTAAATTATATATTGTCTTTTTTATAATTTCATTATTAAATTCACATATGTGTATATCTCTTCTGTATAAGGTATAATTCTGCATGAGGTAAAATAATTTATTTTGCGAAATATTTAATATATTTAATTCTGCTCATGCATTATATACAAAATAATAGTTCTTAATTTCATGATATTGTCTCCCTATGTACAAATATTATGTAACGTTGCTCGAATATGCTAACATATGTGAAATTGTATTGAAATTTCTGTCGAAATCCACGCCTATATTTGAAAGTAAAAGGATTGCAAAGTTCGAAAAGAAAGCATTCATGGATCCATGTATATAAGCATTATCTTTATCAGTGCAGTAGAATACTTGAATACTCGTAAAAACTTCAGTTATCTCACGTATCACGCCTTATAAGCGCAACAATTGTATTACTTTAGCACGCTTCTAGCATGAAAGAATTTTTATTACGTAATGCACTGGGCCTGCTGGAACTTCCGAAAGTACATTATTTTAAATGATCTGTCACGAACGCAATAGGGAGGACAAGGAAGACAGCAGAAAGTCAGAAACACCAACGCCGGAGGTGGACGAGGACGGTTTTTGTATTAGACCGAAGCCGGATCCGTGGGAAAACGAAAAGGGGTTCTATTCCAGTTCGGATACCGATTCGGAGGATGAGAGGGAGCGTAAGATTCGAGTGGAAATAAAACCTTTGAGCAATGGTGGTGCACCTATGAGCGCTAGTGTGGACGAATTGAGGGCGACAGTGGAAAATTTATCTTTATCACCTGCACCAACAGTAAGTTATACTCTCTGCTGACAAAAATCTCGTATTGTGCGTTATACATCGCGACCAAGACAATTATTTTATATCTTAGAAGAAGGCACAAATATGAAGAGGCATAAAATATTTAAATTTCAAACATGCTTGTCACACAATTTTTTGTCTGAGTCGTAAAAAATATTAATAGTATAGAGTATAAAGAGACCGAGTATGAAATAATATCTGTATTTGATTATTAAATATTGTAAATGTACACAATATCATACAAAAGCTGTGGTATTGCGAGGAAAATTTGAATGAAAAAGCAGGTTAAAAAAATACACGCACACACACACACACACAAGTTGTCCCATTTTAATTTTCGCAATTTTCTTCAAATAGTATAAGAGATATGGAAAAATATTTCAGACAAAAGTACGATTTGAAGGGGGATAAATAATGGTAAAAATAATTTCCGAAAAAACTAATTTTTTACGATTATATGAAGGATATCATCATTTTTTAAAATAAAATAATATTTTTTTACATAATATGGTTCCGTTAATTATTCTGCATATAAAAGTATTAAGATAAAGTTATCGAAAAATCAATAGTTTACAAAATATTATATATGTATGTACATATAATATATTATTTATTAACTTCTCAATCTTTCTTAGATGACTTTTAATGAAAACAATATCCCTTGCAAAAACATGATTGTATCTTTGTAGCCTGTTTTTTCGTCAAAAATTTCTTTCTTGATTTATATCACAATTTTTTGAATACTCAGTATTCGCGTCATTAGGAAAAAAATACCCGGAGCCGCTTCGTTTTTCTGACGATGTGTCTTGTTCGAACAGGGACGTAGAGGATCGAATACTGATTCCGATCATCACATGAAAAGGTCTCAGTCAGTGTCACAGCAATTAGGAGGTAAGCCAAGCTCAGATTTACTTGGCCTAAACTTGTTCAATCCTAGCAGTACGCCGTCGAGCGCGTCGACACCGACCGGCAGCCACCCTTACGCCCCGCTGCAGAGCCCACCGCCACTTTCCACATCGCCGACCCCGTCGCAGCCGCCGCTGCCGCAATCTGCGCCGCCTACACATTCTCATACCCGATTCCCAGGTAAATCCTTTAATTCCTCTATTAACGAGTTTATCCTGCTTGCTGGATAATAAATTCGCTAAGCCACCATCGACCGTGGTGAATAAATGAACTTTTGCGGAACTTGCGAACGTCGAATGACGTTCAACTTATTTAGTATGATACGTATGCGAAAATGGAAAGAATTATTAAGATATGAGTTATAGTTATATTACGCTTAAGAAATTGTAGCATTTGACATTTAATATTCTAATCCAATGTAATTGCAATAGTAGATGATTAATTGTTATATTATATCTGGTAATTATCGATTTTGACGATTGCTCATAAATAAACTCGACGTAGTTAAATTGAAGCGTAGCGAAATTAGAAACAAGAAAGACAAGAGTTTGTAAAAAAAAATCACTTTTTTTCCTTTTTTAGATGGGGATTTATTTTCGGAAATTGGAGACATCACGCCGGCCTTGCCACCTAAGCAGTCCGCGTCCTCGACGCCGACGGGCTCGATCGTGATACCCAGACCGCCGTCGCGTCGAGGAGAAGGTCCGTCGCCACGTGGCAGGATGTCACCCGCGACGATATCCCGCGCCGACAGCGTTGCCAGCCTAGAATTTCGCACTGCTGGCGTGGGCGTGGGTTCCTCGCGGGGACCGTCCCCACTCACGATCGGCCTAGCGGACACGATCCCGCTGGCGGTCGCATTCCACGAGATAGTGCATTCCTACTTTCGTGGCACGGACGAGACGCGATGTCAAGTGAAGCTAAGCGGCGACATGATGCTCTCGTTTCCGGCTGGTATCGTCACAGTCCTGGCGAACAATCCCAGTCCTGCCAAGCTGACCTTCCGCGTGAGGAACACCAACAGGTTGGAGAGGCTGTTGCCGAACAGTCAACTCATCAGCATGTAAGTCGTTTTGGCTAATTTCGCGTTGATCCTCAAAATCGTGAGAAAGCGCGGCTTGATAAGAAAAAAGAGATCGCGGGATGTTCGCAGGGACGCAACTCAGACTACCGTCGATAGTACAATCTTCGAATTCAACATGAGTGCCTTAACTATGTTGCTACGGCGGCAAGCTGAACAGAATCCCTCGGCCTCGTATTTCAATGTGGACATCCTCAAGTACCAGATCAAATGCAAGGAAGGCGCCGGTTCGTGCCCTTTTCAGTTGGTCGCGTATTGGAAGTGTGAGACGAGCCACACCGATCTAAAGGTAATTAAGATACTGGGCCATCTCTATTAAGAGATTGCTTGAGAAAAACAAAAGCGAAAAAGCCAAATCTCTCCTATCTCGCTTGATGTAGCCGTGCTGCGAATTAGATTGTTTCCGATTCTAGATCGATTATAAATACAACAGTCGCGCCATGGCCTCGCCGAGCCCTCTGCTGAATCTCCACGTCGCGGCGCCCATCGACGGCGGTTTCAAGTCGCTCAACAGCAAACCGCCGGCGCAGTGGCTACCCGATACGAATCGCGTATTATGGAAATTCACGGAGCTTTCGCAGCACAGCGAGGGTAACGGAGTCGGATCCCTGAAGGCGCGAGTCGAGCTTGAACGCGGTCCAGGCAATCAGGGCACGATATTCACTCAGTTCAATTGCGAAGGGACCACATTGTCGGGAGTCGAATTTGAGCTTATAGGATCTGGATATCGATTGAGCTTGGTGAAGCGAAAATTTGTGTCCGGTACGTTAAATAATCAGAAATTTTTGAATCACATGATTACGCAAAAATAGATATATGAAGAAAATGATTTTTATGCCATTTAAAATATTTTTTACAACGAGATAATATGTAAAATATATATCAAGTAAAAATTTTACATATTATCTCGTTATAAAATCTTGTAACATCTTAAGACTATAACTTGTATTTACTTATAAAACCGGTATTCGTAATCGATTCTTATATTTAAGACCGTCTTAAGTTATATAATCTTAAGAGATGTTATGAGATAGAGCCGTATTAACATCTCAAGACATTACTTAAGACGGTCTTGACTTAAAATAAAAATCTATTATGAATATCCGAATTAAAATTTAAGTTAAATTTCTTTAAATTTTCTATAAAAATGATATTTTTCGTAAAAGAGTTTCAATGTCCTTTTACATACTATTTATTTGTTAATGAAAAAAGAAAAGATTGTCGAAGGACATAATCTTCGTGATTTTATTTTCACTAGTTACCGAAGTTTGAATTGTTTCAGGAAAATATATATGCGACGGAGATTCGGATTCGCGCTCGAGATATGCCGCGCCGCCATCTAATGCAGATTGACGACTTCCAGAATGGGCGCCTCAATGGGAGAGCCAGCCCATTTAATATTGGTACTTGCTTAATCATTCACTGCCCATATCACGACTATCGTTCGTTCATATTCCGATTATGCGTGGAGAAGCCTGTTGGATACCAAAGCGTGCATCGGCCGAAGAGGTCAAATGGATCTTTTTTGTAAAAATCGTGAAATTGAAAAAACGAGATAGAAAAGGCGTTTTGCACAGCCGAAATGATACGTCTTTTCCAAAACAAAAAATAAACGAGATCCATATTCTCTCTGCGCTTTCAACGCCGAAGTCTTTCAAGTCTTTATTTGTATTAAGCCATACTATATTTTATCTCGATGGGAACATACAATTACATACAATTAGGAAACTTAGAAGTAATACGACGCGTTCGGCGCTAAATATTTGCTGCTATTTTAAGTGCAAAGCCGATTCCTTATTGACTTCGCGTACTAGAACGAACAGGTAGAAACGCAAATCTGACCTTGATGCAGGACGCGCTATGACGAACGTGCATTCTATGTGTTTTATATACAACTTGTATATTTTTTTAATTTTTTATATATTCCCCGCATTGAGGTACTACAACCGTATTAAACTAATAATACTACTGTTTTAACGAAGTTTCTACGAGTAAACAGTACGCGATAAATATATGCGAGCAGTCCTTTCCGTCAAACGAGAGAGGCGATTCTCGCGTGAAGATCTTTGGTGTCCAGCATACTCTCCGACACGGTAACTTTCGCCATTTAACAATTTCTCTCTCTCTCTTTCTCTCTACATAATCAAAATACGTCGCGGCGGTTTTTCTTTTTATCTTACAATTAGTCCTTGAAACAATGTACAGTGCTCTTTATTTTTATTGTTACGTTCTGCGTTATTTTAATGCAATATGTTAGCATTATATATTGTTGATAACCGGTGCGGAAGGAGAGAAAAAAAATGTAAACGACATATAAATGCCGATTAAGTATATCTATATTTAGCATTTATATTTTCGAAAGTAGAGAGCATATTGTTTGCACGTGGCGCGCGAGCCTTTTCGGCGAAGAGATTCTGGCACGTACGCCAATTTTTAGTTGATTTTTATGCGCGCGCGAAGATAATACTAAGTAGTAAGCTGTACGATAAAAGAAGAACGCGAGTAAAAAAAAAAAGTCGTTTTACCGGTGGAAATAACGAGGACAGCGAGGAGCGGTAGCAAGAGAAATAGAGATAAAGAGTTTAAATCAACGATACTTTTTTAAACGTTAGCACATGTTGGATGCGAGACGAATCAAATACGATTCTGTATTTTTGAACGTTTAAATGTTAAAACACAATTTTGACGTCGATAACAGGATTTTAGCTTTAGGTATAGCTGACGGCGAGCGAGGAGGAGTCGTTTATCTAAATGTTTCAAACTGAGATTCTTAGTATTATACGTAAAACGCTGAAAGTTTCGTACCTATTGCGATTGTGGCGCGTTCCGTTTTCGCATTCGTAAGAAGCGTATTTTCTCGTTACAGTTATATTCACACTTGTTCACACACGTCACGTCCATTGCTTTATACAAATTGATTAATTTAATCAACAGTTAGATTACGGAGATATCACGGACTAATGTTAAGGCATTTTTATACAAAACATTAATTCTCAATAAGTAAGTCAATTTTTCCCGAAGGCATTATATAAACGGTCGATTTATTTGTATATCGATAATTCATGCCCGGCGTTGATCAATTATCAATCAATCAATTGACAGATTAATAACGAAAATTAATTGCGACAATCGCGAATGTTCCGATTCTAGATCCAGCAATTGATTTGACAGATTTAGTTCATGCGCAGGATATGTATATTGCAATCATATTTTTGAAGAAATGACGACAATTGATTGTGATAGTAATCTTATTTATTATCGTGCAATATATATTTTGTTTCCTCTGAACATATCTTTAGATTATCTATTATAGTGATGTTTAACTCATTAAAAGCCATTATTATAATAATAATTATTATTATTAGACGAATATGAATTTTTTTTTATTTTTACCAAGCAAAAAAATGTTTTTCCGAATATTACACATATATACATACTGTACACGCGCATATATATAATATATAGTACGCGGAGGCGTGTACATGTGCAAAATGATTTAAAACTCGAAGTCACTAGTTCGGTAAATCATTAGTCGTAAAAAAACAGCAAATGGGTTTACATAAACGTCCTATACATATACGTATTATTTATTAGTTATGGAGCTCTCACGATCGATTTTCATACACATTAAAAGTTTCGAGATTTCTTTATATTTTATTATATCCATTTATACATAATGTGTTCTCTTAGATTATTCAAGTTTTGCAGTTGAATACATAAGTAATTACAAATGACTTTATAAATAATGAAATACAAGATTCAGAATTTTTTCAAATATGAGAATCGATAAGCAGAATCATCCAGGCAATACAATCACATTGAACATTTTAAAAATAGAAGCCTGTCAATATGATTTACCTAAACTGACCAGTAAAATTCATGGTTCTTGACCGATAAAAATTATTTGATTATAATGTAATATTGTTTATCGTACTCGAGATTTATTTTTTATTGGAATCAATTTCTTAGTCGTTCTACGATCATGATTATCAAGGTATGTACTTGAAAAGATATTACAGTTAAAACGAGAAAAAAATTAATTTTGATTTATTTCGATAACGGTTAGTTATATATTTAGATAAACTGATTTGTTTTTTTATACGATTAATCATTTTTTAGGCTAATGACTTCAGCTTTTGAATCATCCTGTTTATATAAGTAATAATACATAATTATAATTGTTTTAGAAAGATTTGACCTATTTAAAAAAGAAAAAAGTTAAATATCGTAAAATTTAAAGGATTATTACTGAAACAATTTTATTCGTAATATATATGTACATACATATGTACAGAATGTTCCATTTTAATTGCATACATCTTTTATAATTTTGAATAAAACAAAGATGTATCAAATTTAATTCGGAGAGAGAAAAAGACGATTTTGAATTCTTCGAAAGTAGAAATTTTCAACGTCATTTAAAGATTTTTCTTCAGTTTTAAATAATTACTCCATTCAAGAATGGAAAATTTTTAATTATTTTTTTTCTCCCGTGAAACCATCAAAGTTTTATTTAACTTTTTTTTTTCTAAATTATCTTGTTTTTCAGATGTCCAATTAAAGTTGACACTCTGTATGTGTGTATATGTACATATAAAATGTTTGTATCCAAGACTGTATCTGTTGGCCATTAATGAGTTAAATGTCGCTCTTTTATCGATTAAATTTTTTTTTATTTTTACCAAGTAAAAAAAATTGTTTTTCGGTTTCTCCGAGCATTTACATCAGAGTACACTTCGAAAATCGCGGAATCAGTTTTTTAAAGATATGCGACGTATACATAAGATTACGAAATAATGTAACTCTTGTAAGAAGTCTGATCCGAATCATACAGTCCGGCACACTCGACGATATTTTTCTTCCGTTTTACATCGACGACAAGCGATGATCGTTGATCGCTCTGTCCCTGGTCTAAGAGAATTCAATTCTCCTACGCTTGAAACTTAAATCTCTTATCGATAAATAGAGAAAGTTCCGTTTAGGCGACATCTCGAAAGTTGTGAAGAGGCGTGTGTGTCAAACGGGCACTAAAATAACGCCAGTTTCACGCCTTTTCACTGTAACAATCACTGTGACGCTAAAAAAACGTGAAGTATTGTTTTCTTATACTTCTCGTTGCTGGAAAGAAATATACGATCGGTAAAAAAAAAAAAAAATTATTACAATTACCGTCATTACCGTTGCGCCTCAGCGTTCCTCTGCGATACTCTTCTCAACACCTCTCGTTCTCTTTCTTTCTCTCTCTTTCTCTCTTTGCGCGCCTATCTTCTACGACGCGAAGTTGACGCGAAAGCCTTACTTTCGAGAATGCTTTTTTAATTGTAATCGTCGTGCAGGGAGGGGCGATATGCCAAGGTCTACACACGAAAAAGAGCAATACAAAAACATCTGTGACCTATGACGAAACTCGAGTGACCACTCCATTCGAGATATTAAATTCACCGCGCGAGATCAAATTACGTTGATCGGTATCGAGTTGTAGATATCGTCTGTCTGTTTCGTTTTACCTTCGAGTATCTAATGGCAATGCAACAAAAGGTTTCTAGACTTCTAGACCATTCCGTTATTAAACGCGGCACGCGACATTGTTGTAGCTAACTAATAACTTCCTGGTTTCACGTGGGAAAGTTCGCGTGCCAGGATTCGAATCGCGATACTCGTAATAACACAACGGCGATGGAGTGGTTTCTAAAGAATCGACTGAGCTCTCCTGTGATACGCAGATGTCACTATAATTTCGTAATAAACGTTTTGTATTGAAACATACATATATACGTTATGATGTATCGTAATTACGTTATCGCTTTCTTCCCGACTGATCCCGAAATGACGACGACGACGGGCGACGACGACTGCGATGAGGAACACGGGGGAGGGGAGGGATACGGAAGTAAAACTCATGTTCTCCAATTTCGTGTTTCACGTTAAGTTATCGCATATCTTAATGCGTGTATATGCGTTCAGTTACAAGTTTTAATTAACACTCACAATTCAGAGGAGTAAAAACGAATCCGACAATCGCTTTGCTTAAAACTTCGGAAGAGGAAAGGGAAAGGATATGCGTTTGGATGTAATCGTCATTAAAACGACAGGCCTAAAACTACACTACGCCAACTTTAAAAATTGTTTTCTCTGTAAATAAGACTTATCGAATCCTCGTACATTTATTTCAATCTTTATAGAAACCCTGACTTTTATTTGAATCTACATGTAAAAGTTATGGAAATTAATTGTAAGTTTCTTTATTTTTTTTTCTATTCTTCTCGAGACACATTCCTCCGATCCGTAATTTTTTCGAGAAAAAGGAGAATTTGAGTTTTATTTTTCGTACCCTCGCCTCCCTCCCTTCATCCTAAGTCGTTTCCGCTCTGTCCGCTGACGAGAGCGTGTTTTTTTTCCTGTTTGTCCCGCGATTACGATAACGACGCGGACGAATTGCGGATGTCGATCGTTACGACGAGATGTAAATGTGTTAGTAGAGTTACGGACGATTAATACCATACGCGCGCTTAATCGACGGAATTGATTTTACAAAGAGACGTAGTACAATAAAGGTTGTCCATCATGCGCGTTATACGGGACTCTCGTCGCGCGGTAATTAAGAGGAACAAGAGGAGAGGAGGAAGAAGAGGAGAAGGAGGAAGGGGACTGCAAACGCAAATCGCGTACATAATACAGGCGTAACTTCTTATACATAATATAAATACGAGGACTGTAAATTAACGATGCGATACACAAAACACATTGCGCGATGAATAGCGAGCGGTTATGTAAACTTGTTGACATGTAATATGTCCATGTTCTAATAAAGATTTAGGATATTTTCTATAAATACAGTTTGTTGCAATCGCGACGACGTGTCGCAATCGCTTACATATACACACTTCGCTATACATAAAATAATTAGCAGAATAATTTATCGATAGACACGGTATAGTATCTCGCGCCAAGTGTACACGCATGCCGTCGAGACGGATCGTGTATCTGTACGCGACAAGACTAGTTGAGACACTTAGATTATCGAATCTCAATATCGGCTGAACCGATCAAGTTCAGAGTAGCGATCGCTCTTTTTCTGTAATTCCTTTTCTCCGAAACAGAAATGGGGAAAAATGAAAAGTTATCATGGAAGATAATGGAGAAATTTTTTACCTTTCACGTTTTTGCCCCAGGGAATCACATGATCGCTGCCCTGAGTAGGTTCAATCGATAGCTTGAGTTTGAAGTATATAAATAATTGACTATGACTGACTACGGCGTGTGTGCAAGATATATGCGAGGTAAGTTTGTGCATTTCTATAATGTACGTGTGCCGACTAGAAACGTGATTAAATTAAACACAGTAAGATTATTGAGATGAATCCTATATCGTTGTTGTAGTTTTCCGTGATGGGAACGTACAGCAACGATGTGGGATTTCTATAATGGGCTTTGTCGCGTAAATCTAATACGCGCATATTGGGCTGCTCTTCAAGTGAATATTCTGGAATTAACATCTATCTCGTCTGTTTCTTTAAATACTACTCGGCTAATTTATATTAACACTTACGTGTTACACGTAAGTGTTAATATAGATTAGCCGATTAATGCCTGATTACAGATTACAAATTTATATATAATTTACCGTTGTAAAACACGATTAAAAAATTCTCGAATCTCCAGCCTCCATGGTCCAGCCATTCATCAAGGAATATGTTGCTATTCTCGAGACTTTCATCTGTCGAGCTACAAATCACTTTTGTCTGTGAGTTTTGTAAATCACGAATTGATCAATTCATTAATTTCAGTTGCGCGCTTGCCATATTTCTCTTTCCTTCTCTTCTTCTCGTCTCGACATTTGAACGCACGTCTATTCTAATTTAAATGCAGATAAAACAGCTTAGATCTTGCTTAAATTGTTATCAATAGTACCACGTTTCGCTGTCTTCTTGCACGAATTCTCTCAATATGTGCCTCAACGTCTCATCTTCTTCGAAACATTGGAACAGTGTGTCTTTATATCTAAAACAGAAACGTTACACTTTATTTAATCTATAGAAAATTCACAAAAAAAACAGAATTTTGAAAGAAATATACTCAGCTTTTTTTTAATTCATTAATCCTTAATCTTACGTAGTACGTATTCAATATTGTAATTATATTTTGTCTTAATTTTTTTCTCTTAGTTACATAATTTTTATACATTTATCTTGTGATTTATCAAATGATTTTTATTCTATATCATTTTGTAGACGTGGAAACATGAATTTTCCTATTTATCTGTGAAGTTTTTTCCAAAAGTTTTTATAATATCACCGTGTGGATCTATGAATGCACTATCAAATGACGGCAGAATAAAAAAAAATTGATATAATTTTGTAAATAAGATTTCTCGGATACTTTCGTCATATAAAAATATAATTAATATTTTTATTTAATGTATTAAAACATGCACATTTTTTTTAACTTAATAGTTGCACAATTGCAAAAATTAAGAAAAAATTTACTTTTCTTGTCTTCTCCACATAGCGTCATAAAGGATCTCTTTATAAATGAAATAAATAAAAAATTTTAGTCTGTATATCAAGTCACCTTAGGGGTATTTGGGTATCCTCGCGTTGGACGGTACCCAAAGTGCGGACTCTCTGCAACACGGTATCCGCCATCACCCTCTCGTACTCCAGATACCTTTCGTCCTGGGTGAACCACAACGCCATCGCGCATCTCCTGCCGCTACGTACGGCCCGAACGCCGTGAAGATTCTCCCCACCGGCGGAGAATGCCACCATACGTCCGCACCGGGGCCGAACGACGCCCTGGACGCGGTGTCCCTGCCAGTCCTCTACGAAGAAGAACTCGCCGCCGTCGAAGTCATCGTTGAGATACAAGATCGCCGAGTAATCCCGCCACGTGTACGCGGGATCTTCCCGCAAGCAGGAACCTTCGTCTTGTATCACGCAGTTATCGGCATGAATCTCGTGACTTAGATCAGTGCGATTCGCCGGCAAATCTGAAAACAACGATAGAATGAATTTTTTTTTCTCTCTGGGGACTATCGCACATTTTTAATTTTACTCACATATTCCTAATCTTCTTCGTCCTTCCTTAGATAGCTTGTTATACTATATTCGATAAGCAACGATATTTTTTTTGCTACCATATTTCATAATCTTAGTGATTATTTTGTTAATAAAAAGAATTATGACAATGAAATCAAATTTAAGCGAACCGATCGACGATAAAATATGATCTGATCGATTATCCATACATTTTAATGCCGTACCAAGTGTTATATGATGCGAGCATGCCAGCGAAAGTGTCGTCAGAAGCACGAGGATGCGTCAGATGAAAATTACCGGGTAAAGCCGTTCGGCAGACCAAATGGGTGTAGGTGAAATACAATGGTCGATCAAGGTCGAAATACCTTTCCACGTGATCGCGAGCCGCTTCCGTGCGTTGCAGGAATAGCTTCAGTAATTCCGGCTTTGTCAGACCGAAGTAGACCATCTACAATTTTTTGTTTTCCTTTCGTAAGATGACAATAAATTTTTCTGAAGATAAAATGAGTGTGGAAGGATAATTAGGAACGTTCGAATGAATATCGGCAATCCTTACCAAGGCTATCCTGCCGACGGTCACGCCTTCGAAACGCTCGTAAGACGAATGCGGGCTTTTGTTTTCGTCATAACCATCTCCTTCCACGGCGATCTGAAATTTATGAATCATTATTATTATTATTATTATTATTATTATTATTATTATTATAAATCATATTAATATATCCACATACGAGCCTTTGTTTTAGTAAATTAAAATTTCACTTATCTTCGTTTTTTCCTCTTAGCTATAATTTGTATTTATTTATCTTGTCATACGATTTTTATTTTATATCATTTATAGACGTAGAAAGACAGATTTTTATACTAGATTTTTATACTACTATACTATAAGATTTCTATACTAAATACTATACTTTCATTTATCATGAATTTACCTATTCATCTACGAAGTTTTCTCCAAAAATTTTTAATATCACCAGGTTATCGAAATTTTCGATTGAAGTTTTATCAAGATTGTGAATGCGGAAGGATTAAGAAGAAAAATGTCTCGCCGTGAGTCTAATGTGATCAATGACGGAGCCAATTTCGATACCTGGGCGAGTTGCATGAGCAGATTACAATCGGTGGAATTGAGGAATCCATCGACCGCGTAGCGGTTTCTTCCGCCGAGCTCACTTTCTCCTGCTATCAGTCGCGCGTCGTCCGTGACTCTTAGCCGCTCCGTGACACGACCTTCTCGTATCTCCGTCTCCTCCTTGTCCCGGAACGTCGACAGATTACCCACGAGTCGCGTTCGAATGGACGGCGAATGGCCTGGAGGTGGATGCAAGATTGGTCTCGAGGAAAAGTCCTAAAGAAGTAAAAAACGAAGATATAATGTGGAACAAGACACTGAGATAATAACGTATGACATTGGAGGTAAAAAATTGGACTTTTTTTTCATTTTCTTTCCTTATCGGTTATTGCGAATCTTTTTCCTCGCGCCTGCATTTTCATAAATATAAACACAAAAGTAAATAGGGTTGCATTTAAGCAGGCGATTAAACGAGGGACACTGATAAAGATGCATCGTATGCAACATTACTTTAACTTTAATATCTCTTTCTAATCTTAGTTTTGTTATTTATTTTCATTTTATTAAATTGCAATAACAAAGGTTAATTTATTTTTTAAGTACTTTATTGTTTTTCAGATATAAGAAGTTTATAACATGTAATAAAAATATTTTAGTAGTAAATCTAGTTGTAAATGCACTTGAACAACGAAGTTCATCGATTGTTTTTATAGTTGATCGGTTTAAGCACGATATGTGATGGTCAGGTTTATTCGCGCATCATCCTTCAAACAGAAAGATCGAAATGGTAGCTTACAAATAAAGGGTTTCTTACGCTTTTCGATTCGCACAGATCGATTGACGAATATCCGGTCTCAAGATTATAGTCATTATTTATAAGTAAATTATCAGGCATTTTCTTTGTAAACTTATATCTCGTCTTTTACCTTCCCTAATTCCTTCTTGTCGGCCTTCTTCATGTTTGTCTTCTTGTCAAACGCACTAAATCTGGCCTCGATCGCCGCGAATTCCTTCGATATATAGTGCAGCAGCATCAGCTCGTATTCTTGCCGCTTCACGTAGGAAAGCGCTTCCTAAAAAGCGATTCTCGTTAAATTTATTTTTAGGTCTATTAACATTTTTCACTTATTTTATTGATTTTCGCTTATTTTAAGTGATGAAAATTTACGATCGTTTCTTTGGAACTCTGTATGAAAATTAACATTGTAAATCTTTTCAACAATGTACATACAAGAAAATTCGAATATTTTTTAATATTAAATGTTAAGAAATTTATATTTTTATTAATACTTCTATTTGTTACATACCTCTCTTGGCGTGAAATACTCCTCTTTCACTTTCGGCTGGGAGCTATAATAGTCTTTATTATGCAGCATTGTCTCGTCGGCAGGTAAAAATAATAAATAACTCGCAACTGCTGCACAAGCTGCTTTCAAATTACCCACTATTCATAAAATAAATGAACATTATTATTTATAATATTATACATATACTATTTACATTCTTTTTATCCACCTATTTGACTCATGTGTATATCTTTGAGCAAATATTTGGCTTTTATATTTGTGTATATCGAGCTGATAAAAAATTCAATTGACAGAGAGAAGGGTGGGAAAGTGGGGAGAAAGAGAATCGAAAGAAAATTTTCCTAAATTAAAATAATAGGAGTTAATTAAAGTGTAAATTGCACAAAGGTAGTGCAAAGAATGCAAGGGACGTGACAGTTTTAGAAATGATGTTGAACGTGAAATTGCTACACTTTAGAAATTAACTCATTTAATTTTACGACAAGGGATGATTCTACTTGATGAAAACTACTTGATGGAGCTGTTGAGATATTTGCTTCTAAATTGACGAGGACACATTGTAGCAAGGTCATTATAATTCATGACACACTTGCATCTTATGTCAGCGTTCCAGTTATGAAATAAATATTTCATTAACCGTATAAACGATCCTATAGAAAATTACACCGCATTCTATAAAAATATCCTAACTTATATTTCCTTTCGGTCTTTATTCGATCTCTATCGAGAAAAGTATTTCGCTCAATCGGTTTAACGAGATTAATCATCGTAAGGTTAAAATACTCACGTTTATAATAAGCAAACTGCAAGTAATTATAATGACTCCTGAGCAAATCACTCTGAAAGTTGCCATTCACGTTGTTCAACGCAAGTGAACATTTACGTTTGCATTTCAGACAGAACGCAAAGTGATCTAAAAAAAATTAAAGAATAATAATAAACAAGATATACTTCTCTTGAGTAATTATTAGTATAATTTTTATACATTAAACTTTTTCCGGGAAGGATGTTGAAAATGCAGTTTATTGTATACTAATCTAAAAACTTATTAGAAATTCTATGAAAGTGTAAAATTTAATTTACTATAATTATTGTATAATGAAAAATCCGTTAAACAATAGCAAAATTAATTAAAAAGAAATTACGCGCGCATAGTAAACGTATTGTTGTTGCGCCTTAGTGATGCACAAACTCCGATGAGAAACTCAAGTTTCATTAATTTTACATTTCTTAAGCCTAATGTTAATTTATTAATTACCGCGATATTTTGCAGTAACGAGATGTTTCTCTAGATCGAACAAATCTCACGCTTGTTCAAATAAGAATTGAAAATTATAAATTATGTTAATTACATGGATACATGCATTTTTAAATCTAAACTCATTTATTGTTGTTCTTTATTAAGTCAATGTATGTCTTACTTGATATCGAAGAGGTAAACTCGGGATACCATCCTTGATCGAAGGGACCCTCGCAATAGAGCCTGCATTGCTCCTCGGATTCCATGTAAGACTTGAGTGAACTCTCTAATTCGACCACAGCTTCCGCGTAATACTCATTTTCGTATTCCTGAACACCTCGAGTGTACTTTTGCATAAAGGGGGCCGCCTCCAAATTCACGACTTTTTCCACAGCCACGTCAGGTAGATCCAAATAGTACTTCAGATTCTTCATAGTCATCTCGTGGTCGGAATGTTGGGACAGGAAGGTGAAAGCTGCATTCGCTGCATCTTGATGTCTTCCTTTCTACGAGAAATTATTTGGAAATACAATATTAATTATATCATGGATTAATAATTCATGTTACAAATTTAACTTTATTTTATGATGTATTAAATATACATTCATATTATATTGCATTATGAAAAATTATATTCTTGCAAAATAAACAAAAATATATAGCATGTAGTACAAAAATATTTATCTTTGATAAGTGTCAAATAATATTCGCAGTTAAATTTTATTTCAGTTTATCTGAAGATAAGAAGCGATTCTTTGCCTTCCATGATCACCATACCGGAAATTCACCATTACGAAATATACCGGAATCCTAATTTTGATAGCAGATAGTATGAATATGATATCATCCATACAAAAATACAAAATGAAAAACAAGATTATTTCAATTCAATGTTGTAGACTTTTTGTAGTTTATTTAGATAAAATTTATCATAATATATAATTTTATTCAATAATTTTTTAATTATAATGTCGAGATAGATTCGTTCCATAGATTTGGCATCATAAACAAAAATGGGCAAATTCTCGAAAATGAAGTTATCTTATGAGAGAACGATGATACGGATCGGTTTTTCGGGTCAAGCCCGAGTTGTTTAACTCATAATTTACGCAGCAAAAGCAGGCACCGAATATCTGCTACGTCGTAATTGCGTAATCTACCAGATTAGGATCCGCGGGAAGTATGGTATATTTTCGTGATGGTTTTTTACAAGATCTTCCGTAAGTGAGTAAAGACATGTGTCTATGTAAAAACACGAATTTGAGTAACGCAATTAAATTTATCAGCTGCAACGTGAAAGAAATAAAAATTAAAGTTGAAATATTGTGTAAATCATGAATATCATTAATTAGATAAAAAAATATGATAAATTAAAATAAAATAAGTATCTGTCGTATTTTATGTGGTTCAACAAAAAAATATAAGTACAAACATAAATTATGACAGTTTTAATGTGAAACGGAAAATAAAATCATAATGTTTCGGTTTAATGTTATATAAACATAATTTTTTGTAAAAACATTTTTACGTGACAGGTTTGCAATATTGTTCAAAATGTTTCGGTCAAATAGATATATCTAATTCGTACCTGAAAATAACAAATATGAAGATACTCGTAGATGGCAAGATCGACAAACTTCTTCTCCGTGGCGTGTGGGAGTCGTTTAAGCGCCCCCGCACCTGCGATTTCTCGATAATCTTGATTACATTTCATTAAACAAAGCGTTTCCTTCACTTTTCTCTCGTAAAAATGCAGATCCTCGATATCTTCCGCGAAGATTGGCGAGGAACCTGCCGCTTCGGCTTTGCATTTTCGCCGGCAAATCGTCACCGTGCGTTTGTATGCTTTGTATCTATGAAATATTACGTAAGCTTACATTAAAAATATGGATTTGTTATGTAGATTATAATTAAGCATTGTAATCGGTATTTAAAAGAATTTAGTAATATAAATGTTGTAATATATTCAATATAAAAAAAATTCTTTTTAAATTGTCATTTTCATTCTTTTTAGAAGATTTATTATTATAATAACTTCGTGATTAAAATATCTAGTATAGCTAATTATACTATCATGTCCAGTGCAACTTTTTTTTAGCTATTCTTTATATACTATTTTACTATTTTCACTATTTCATTTTCTAAACATTGTAGCGTAAAAAATATTTTTCTTCAAATTTCCAAAATTTCTATAATAATTTTGTATTATTAAAAACACGCAGAGATAAAAAAACTTCTTTCCTTAAAAAAAAATTTCAAAAAGACGCTCTAAATTTTAAATACTCTGAAACAGAGAGCTCTTCATGAAGCATTTATTATAAATTTATATTATAAATTAAATACTCAACATTTTATTTTATAATTAATATAGGAGTGCCAATGAATAATTTTTTCTATAATTTACGCATATAAATTATTAATATGCAAAAAATTTCATAAAAATATCCGACATGTATTTTCCTTAACGAGAAAAAACGCGCTTAATTTTAAAAACTTCAAAACAAATCTTCAATAAAACATAGAATTAGTGAAGACTTAATTTAAAAGTATCTCATAAAATTAATATACGTCCAGTACTTGTGGAAAGGAAAGTGCCGCCGCCGCCGACGACGACGACGACGACGCCGGGATAATTATAACAACGTACCCATGCAGAGCTTCGTTAAACCCCGCGACGCAGCCGTCCCAGTCCTCCTCGAGATAAGCCTGGACCGCGTTCTCGAAGATCTTGGCGAGCGTGGCGTTGCGCACGCGTTGCCCTTCACGCGGCACCGATTCATCGCTCTCGATCTCATTGATCTCGATCTTGTCGTCGTCATCGCCGTCGGCAGCGTGACACGCACACGCTCCGAGGAGGACCACGAGCGGCAGAACGAGTTTCATCCTCTCGCGACTCCTCCCAATGGACTGCTGCGGAGTTGCGGACTAGCAGCGAATGGACCAACTCGCGTGACTCGATCACGTCGCGGCCGGCTCTCCGGCACCGCCAACTTCGGAACGCGCATACACGCGTGGGATATTATATGGTCCACATGCACGCACGCACGCACGCACACGCGTGAGCGTGCCGGGTGTGGAGTACAGGGTGATTCACGAACGTACGACTTGATTTCGCATAAAGATTACATGACGTAACATTATAGAATAAAAAAATATGTGTGCGAGAAAGAGAAAATATCGAAATCGAAGCAAGAGAGAATTTATAATGAGGCGGAGTAGATTGCGTGAAGTTGAGAAAACATTGAGATACATGATGAGATTTGACCTTCAAAAATAATCATTTTATGATTATAAAATTGGATCTATTTATACGGGGGCAGAGAAGACTTCAAACTTAAAACAGAGCGTATTATATAGTGATGGAAACCGCGCGCTAATCGTCGTGATTAAAACTCCAATTAAGATAATTACGTATATCGTCGCAAATAAATACTTCTATTCATTGATAAAACGGCTCGATGAGCCATTTCCGATTATAATATTTCCATGCAATGTTCTGCTTCATTAATCGGAAAAAGCGTATAAGTGGCCTTCGATCAGCTTGAGTGATTCGAAGAAGTATTGCCAAATAAATGATGAAGAGAAATCAAATTAATTGGTGATCGTAAGAGAAAGATAGGAAATCTCTAAATTATATACGTCTGTAAAGAGGTGAGGAGAAAATGCAGCTTACCAAGTGTATTATATACACGATACCGACCACTTCGTCGACAGTTTCGGTGGATTAAAGCAGATTCTTGCGCGAAAGAAATCCTTTTCTCGTCCGGATGTTGCGTGTCCCGTTTCTGATACCTCTGCATATCACATTATAATGCAAACGTTGACTTAGGCAAATAGTAGTGTCACTTCTCTGGGTGTCCTATGCACTTTGTGTTTGAATGGACCGTGTATTGTATCGTGAATTATTATTCGAGTTAAAATGATATACGAAAGGAGAACACATAAGTAGTGCATTATCATGTTGTTTGCCATACTGGTCATCCATGACCAGCACCTGACTTTTCAGTTACGTTGATCATTACTGATTACCGGTGCTATTAAATCTAGAATCAAATAAAGAGATATAATATGTATGTATGCATTGGACAGAATTGAACAAATATTTGCAATAATTAAGTAAACATTTTCAATTGTTATAATAATTGAAAAGATATATCATACATTTAATTATGTTATTTTATCATAATATATTTTTAGATGAGTCTAACTTATATTACATATTTTCTGAATTTGAAATCTCTAGTGTCTTGCAGAAATATGTAAGAATCAATATTGCTTGTAAGAAATAAACGCCATTTAATATAAAATTTGTAATAATATAAATAGCTAATATGATAATGTAAAATAAAAAAAATCTCTATTCAATACGTATATTCCTGTCATATATTAGGTTGGTCAGAAAATCTTTTCGTATTTTTTGGGTCGCTTTTTTCCATAAAAGACTTTTTTACGAAAAGACTTTTTTACCAACCTGATACAATATCTTATCATTATATGCCTGTAATCATAAAAATTCCATGTAGGTCAACTTTAATCTCAATTTAAGTAATATGCTTTATTTTTTTCCAATTCTTGGAACAAAATTAAATAAAATAAGCCAAAGAATAAATTAAAACTGAACTGAAATTAAAGTTGATCTGCGTTAGTAGAAACGAACAACATTAAGACAAAACCCGCTGAGCAGGTAAAGTGGATAAACTATGATACGAGAAAATGACGGTGCGATAACATGTAAATTAGATAAATAAATATCAGATTCGAGGCGATAAATCATTGGCATTTATACAAATTCGGATCTTGTTACAATCATACAGTTGAGTACAATCTCTCGCTCGCTCTCGACGATAATACAAGTGGAAAAACGTGCGCGCGAATAGCCGACGCTTAACTGACCAGTCTGACCACCGGAGCTGCCGAACGCAGGAAAACGGATGAAGGGAATTTCCTCGAACAGGATAAGAATTGCTATGTTTAAAGAAGAGTAAAGAAAGGCGACAGAAAAGAAATAACGCCTCGGAAGTCGACCACGGACTCGCTCGCTTGCGCTCCTTTCTCGCATCACAATGGGTTCTCTCTCAATTTTTTGGAGTGAAATTTCACTCTAAAGAGTGAAAATACTGCCACTCAAGTGGCCGAGTGACAGTATTTTCGCTCTTTTGGAGTGAGATTCACTCTAGAAAATTTAGAGAGTTGTAAAGCCGAACAATTTCAATGCAATAGCAGCCCGAAGGTGAGTCCGCGATCGTCCAGGCCGTGTTTGTAAAATAAAACCTGTAAAATCGTTAGTGCTGTCCCGCGAATTTTGCGATTATTCATTCCTAGCGCCGTCTCCGCGCGCGTGTAATTCTCCGCGTTCCTAACAGAGCGGACCCCCGCACAGACTTGATCTTTCTCACCGGCACGTCACAATTTTCGCTCGATGAAAATTTCGCAGATTACATTGATTGAATTCGCACACGCATACGTACACGTCATACATACGTATTCGTAAACGAAAAAACAAGTCACACGTTCCCACGCTCGCGAAGAATCGGATATCGCTAATCACTACTATTGATACGTTCCACCCTTAGTCCCTACGATTGGCTTTTTACGAGAAGGAATTCACATGCAATATTAAAAGTTGAAGTTTCACTCGGTTCCACGTCTTACACCGGATTAGTGTCGCTTACGTATCTAAGCGTATAACGACATAATGAAAATGACTGCCACCTCCTCTCCTTTTTTTTTTCTACGCAAATCAAACAAAAAAAAACAACAATGATGCTTCGTTTATGATATATAATAACATACACGCTATAGTATAACTACGAGCCTACGTGAACGATATTAGCTATCTCGTATATTGTTATGCGAGACTTAACGCGGAAACATCCAGCATTTCCTTCCTAGTCTTTAGGACTTAACTTCCTGTGACTGTAATCGATCGCGTCACCCTGAAAAAAAAATCGCTTTTACAGCACTACGTTACGATTATAGGGACAATAAAATACCATTTTTTTAATCAGGTCGAATAAATATTTCCTTTAAATTTGTAGCGACGCATCAATTAATCACTTTTCTTTTTGACACATACATCAACAAATTGTCTAAAAATACACAAAAAAAAATATCAATCATATTATAATGAAAAACCAACCATTTTTCAAACACGTGTGAATTTAAAAAAAAAAACGCTTAACAATGTAAAATAATTTCACTGGGGGACTTACGAATCATCGATTTCACAGGTCGAGAAAATTTTCACTCCGCTTGTTTCTCTTACGGTTATAATATGGCTCGCAGTGCGTATTCAGAAAACTTAGTTGTTAATCGCGATAGTAATTTTAAAGTTGTTTCAGCTAGACACATCAACGGACATATTAACATTAATATCAGTGATATCAGTAACAGTATACAATGGCGCAGAAATGTACAAAAAAAAAAAACAAGACGGAGATGCGAAATCTTAGTGCATAGTGAGAACCATGCACGACGCCGCAAGCGTTCAATGCACTATTCAATTAAAGTTAGCATCACTTCTCGCTTAGCTTAATGTTAATTGTCGTTCTAGCGCGTCACGTCGAAAGATCTCATCAGTTCGATTCGTATTCGATTTATCGCGAAAGTAACATAAAGAGAATTTACGTCGAATTTACGTCCGAGCATAAGCCGATCTCGAAGTATTCGAAATGAGAACTCGCGAAATCGTCGCGATTTCATTTTACAACAGAATTAGAGATTTAAATACATAAATACTAACGCGAAACTTGAACATACAAGTATTACATACGTATACGTCGAAGTCGATTATTATATATACGCCGTGAAAATTTAGAAACAATACTAACAACAGAAGAAATGTTGTATCACGGGACCGCGCTTTGAGAGTCGTTCGCTTCGAGACTCTATGAGTTACTCAGCCTAAAGTGCTCAATCGCAAGCACAAACCTCCTTTACCTCAGACACGTCCTTACGTCTATAGAAGCTTAATTTTATCGCAATCGTAAATTATCGTATCGCATTTTATTTAACTAATGAGCAATGTGGACATTTAGAGTAAACTTTATCGCTATGAGCAGTGTTACGTGATGTGGGCGCTAACATTCGTATAACTGGACGGGTTAAATTGGTATTACATATATCAGGCCAAATTAAGCCAACTTCAAAATTCTAACTCGACAACAAACGTGCGAGCTTTCACTTAAGGTATCAATTTAATCTATTAATAAATAGAATTTGTGATGCCGTTAATTGTTAGGGATGATCATTAATAGGATCTACAATTAATATCTATTAATCATTAATATCTATCAGTCATCAATATCTATTAATCATTAATATTATTAATATCTATCACTTTATTAATTATTAATTAATCATTAATCGATATCTATTAATAATTAATGTGCCAACAAACTAATCTTATTAATAATTTACTATTAATAATAAAATCTGCAATAAAACGTAAAGTCACATTTATCACATAATTCGTTAGAGAAATCTGACAATTTCACGAATGTTAGCGCACGCGTTGTTATTATTATTATTTGCAAAATAAACAATTAACTCTTAGCTAATTGGACACTATCGTGCTGACAAAGTTACGACAAAGTTACAAGTATCAAATCGTGTAATATGAACGAGTTGTATCTATGGCAGAGATAAAGCTTTCTCAGCAAAGTTCTGAAGCATACTTCCTCCTATATTCTTTTTTTTTCATTAATAACGAATAAAAGTGAATTCGAGCTTGATTCAATTGCAACAGAAACGTGTGTGTATGTGTGTGTGTGTGCTAATAAATGTGGCTAAATATTTCAGTGGCAACATTCTACGAACTAAAATATGTATTGCGACTAATATAAAGTACTATATGTACAATAAATTAATATATATATAAAGAGTGACTAATACTAACATTTCAATGCATTGCAGTGCACATCGAGCTCCAATCTTTTCGTATACCTCCGCTGTCTCTAAAATTTACAAGTACACGCAAGATGCTTCCGCGACGGTAATCATTTGATTCTGTTGTGTCGGTATCTATTTGCGTGTATATACTTTTGACGATTACGCGAGAAACATTGAGCAGTCATATATGTACGTGGTACCTGAGTTGTGCGGGCACCAATTGCAATCCTTTATCTCGATGACAACACGAGGACTCATGGAGAGAAAAATTAAGAAACAAAACAGTCGCTTCCACATGCGAATTATCAAATACCTAATAATTTTCTCTCGTACACATAATCGAATGTGTACGCCGCAGTATGATACCGAGAAATAGCGAGTAAGAAAGTATATTTTTTTTCGTATTCGACTACGAGTACATAATTAACGAAGAGATAAACGAAGTACATTAAATAATTCACGTGAGAATCGTTTAGTTTCTTAATTTTTATTCACGAATATATCACTGCTTCAATTGTAATTTTACTTAATTGCGTGCGCAACGGAATCATCTTGTATATTACATAAATCATCGCAACAAAATAGCATCATAGATTCTCTTTGCTTTTTTCTCTCCCTTTCTCCAAAAATAAATACCCTATAAAACTATTTCGCGTACACGGGATATTGTATATGCGAGCCATTGAATACTATGATTGTATATGTGTGTATGTAGGTATCTGTATGCATATGTATATGTGTGTACAATGTGTGTATGTGTTGTGCGTGTGTGTGTGTGGGTTACGTGCTAATATTATTTAGATATAAATGTAAATGAGATCGTGTAAATACTGTAGCCCGAAGCATAAAATCACTCCAATTGTCTCACTGTTAGAGCAACTTCAATATATATATATATATACGGTCTTGTGACTTCCAGGTAGTAACGTTTTTGCGTTTTGCATTTTTTGTTTTCGACAATTAAAATAATATATTTCTCATCTGTGTAAATTCATTTGAAAGTGTGTTTTGTATATATGACAAACAGTATATTTTACGGAAATAGATTAAAACCTTCTTCTCGGAAATATATATATAAGTATCTTAATCGCTTTCAGGTATTCATTTGACGGAAGCCTATAAGTTTGAATATAGAAGTTCCATAAAGCTATATAAATTCAAAATCTGTGATCTTTTTCCTCTTTCCTCGCTTTGTTTCCCCTCCTTTCCTCTTTTGATTAGTCTCTTGTCTCTCATATGATCGTCGGTATCTATTCGAGCTTTGCAAGGGACAACCCTCTCTTTATTTCACGTTTGATTAACACACAGGTAATTCGGAGTTTTCCGCTGCACAAAGGAGATCGGTATTTCCTCGAGAATTTATTTGAAAAAAAAAAAAAAAAAGCAATTAATTAATTATAGTTAATCAATTAGAGAAATTAATTAGAGTTCTTCTTATCTCTCCCCAATCCTGCGTTGCTTTCGTGCGTGCTTGAATGGGCGCCATCGCCGGTGTCGGCCTTATGCTTTTTGGATACCTTTTTAATCTCTTGATGAGCCTCTACATTGCCCTTGCCGGCGCTCTTGTACTCGGCGACGGGCGCTTTATGCGGTAGCGCCGATGCTGCGACAGATCTCTCGCCGGTCTGACAGTGTCTCTGATCCAAGTTCTTCTGCGAGCTCGTGGTAGCACCGGTCGCTTGCTGCCCGCTCGTTTGCGCGGCACCAAGTTGAAGAGCGGCAGTCTCCTCCTTTTCGTTGCGTTGCGACACCTTGCTGCCGCTGGCAGCTGGGCGCTCGTCGCTCTGAGCCTTCTCCGCGTCACCCGACTGACTGTTGCTACACGTCGACGACTGTTGCTTGTCGCCTTTCTCCGCGCCGATCTCCTTCGACGACGAGTAGTCGTCGCTCTTGGTGCCCGTCGGCGAGTCCTTCTCCTCGGCTATCCGCGGCAATTGCGTGCTACCGCAGGAATTCGACATGCCCACGTTTCCCAAATTGATAGATATACCGTGAGTCAGCTTCGAGTAGTCCGCTTTCTGTTCACTTGGCACTTTCTTCTCGCCTTTCGCGCTCTCGCTGGCGCCCTCCTTGAAGCTGTCGTTGGACTCGTCCGAGCAGGCATCGCCGCTGCTGTTGTGGGACGACTGCGCGATGGTCACGCGTGGCGTTACCTTGACCACGGTGTTCGCCAGCGGCGATATCGACGTCTTGTTCTCCGCCGAGCGCGGGTGAAGCCGGTCAGGGCTGAGCGCACGTCGGAGCAGCGGCGAACCCGGCTCCGCGGATTTCGGACGACCGTATCCTTTCTTCTGATTGTTCGGCGTCGACAAACACGCCCCTAGCAAAATCATTACAACATTGCATTACTCAACGATATAAGTTATAAACTTTTTATTAATAATTTGAACATAATATATTTGCGAAATATAGATACGATTGACTTTAATTTTCATTTAAAGAGAATGCAATTACGAAAAACGAAGCAAAACTAGTTATCTTTATGTTGCCTTTTCTCATTAATGAATCAAAATATTTTTTTTTTTCATAATTACATTTTAATCAATATTTTTTTCTAAATAAATCCTTTCTGGTTTTCAAAAAATGCTTGGAAGAAAGTCAGTCTCTTTTTCAGCAATTCCACTCGTAATTTTTAATAAAATTAAAACTGCTTAAAACTGAACGATTAAATCAATCTGTTAGCATGATTTGTATACGTAATTTGCTGCGACAATTAAAGTCTAATTATATAATTGCATCGTTTTCTCATACCTGGACTGTACGACTGCGTAGTGTTGGAACTACCGGGTTGATGGCCCGTGGGGAACGCCAGCGGGCTCGGGCTTCTCGTCGGACTGGCGGGGATCGGCGATGGACTCGGCGTTCTGGCCAACGGCGACAGCGGTATGTGGCCCACGGACTTCCGGCGATTCGGCGAGTGGATGTTCTTCGCGGCCGTGTGCAGCTTGTGCTTGAGACCGTGGAGGGTGCTCGGGCGCTGATAATGCGACTGGTTCGAGATGCCTGACAGATTGCCCACGGACGTGTTCGAGCTCGGGGACGAGGAATTCGGGCTCGAGCACGGGCTCGAGTTTCCGGTAGAGTGATAGGAGTCCGTGCTGGCGCGATTCGTCGGCGGGGACGGGCTGCAGACGGATTTTGAGCACGCCGCGAAGTACGGCGACGTCTCTTGCGAGCGCGTGAACGACTGAAACGAGCGGCTGGGCGTGACCATCGAGGGCGAGCAAATTCCCGCGGCCATCTGCAAAATTTTTAACGAAATTCATCAAGCACGAGAACACGGCGAGTCCTTCTCGTCATTAAACGTCTCGTTTTTTTTTTTATTTATTTATTATAAAACGACGGGTCACAACCCGATAATTCAGACAATTTTATGCATCGCTAACAACTGGTGGGTGTTGTATATCTTTTTTGAAACGCAATAATTATTTGCGAAGTGTGGAATAGCCATTCAAAAGCCGTGTAAGAAAATACATGTTGTACAACAGAACGACGCAGGCGAACAGAAACATCAATGGAGATCGACGGGAAAGATGAGCGAATGTATAAGAAATCATACCATAAGTGGAGGTTTGCTGTCGCTGGACAAAATGGGTGCTGACAATGGACAACTGATAGTTAACGGCTGCAAAAGAAAATGCACTTAACGTAATCAGTGTGTACTCGCGTAATATGCTGGTGCTTTTAAAGTTTCTTTGCTTCTCTTTCTTTCTCTTTTGCAAATAGCGTGTAAAAAAGAACGAACGCAATTCTTCTGTATGTATCTTGCTGTGCAAAATTGGCATCGACATTAAATATATGTATTTCACAATGGAATATCGTGATTAGTAATCTAATGTATAGTTGAAGAGAGAATGTATATATGTCGCGAAATACTGATGATTTCGCGTTTAACGGTGGGCCATGTACAAAGCGAAATTTCCCCGTGTACCTGCTGCATCTCTACGCTCGCCCGTTTGGAACTTATTCTCTTAAAGAGGGACGTCTTCCGCTTCTTGTCCGTGTGATCCCGCTTCTGCTTCCGTTGCTTGTGCAGCGTCCGACGCGCCAGTTTACTCTGCGCGAGGTCGCGCCTTCTACCGCCGGTCTTGATGCTGGTGTTCTCCAGCGGCGTGCTACGTAACGTCACGTGGTCACCGCCGCTCAGCATTAGCTGCAAGACCTGGGTGTGATAGAGGCCTTGCACCGGTTCGCCGTTTATATGCGTTATCAGATCGCCAGGTCTCAAGCCAGCCTCGAACGCCGGACTGGACTGTTCGACCTCCTGTAAAAAAAAAACGTCATGTATATAAAATGTAAATAGATTTTAAATATTTTAGAGAGGAGAAGCGAAGTTGTTTCTCGACAGAGAAAAAATAAGATTTGTAGATGAAAACGCAAGATGACAACGGAATTAAAATGTTACATATATTACAATATAACAAATTTTAGAAATATATATAGAATAAAGTATAGAACTGCAAGATAATAAACACTCGGAACAGTTAAAAATTAATATGAAATAAAACATACGTAAAAATGATGCTGTAGTTTATAACATGCTATAAATTTAGTTTTTTCTTTGAATAATGAAAAATATAGGCATTTGATATGATTTATTTGTACGTACCATTACTAGATGATGCATAGTGTAAAAATCGCTGTCGCCGTAGTAAACTCTAATAGTGTGCACGGTAAAGCCAAAGCCGCATGGACCTCGACGGATGATAATGGGCGGTTTCAGACTAGTTACGAGAGGACTCAACTCGCGGCAGGGGGATGTATCCCTCGAAGACGCAGTCGACGATCCACCAGGCGACTCGATAGGTTGAACATTCAGTGGCGCGTCATCTAAGCATACATATATACATTTTAAATGAGAAATAATCAAACTTCAAACCTCCACTGGAGAGCAAAAATGATGTCCGATCCAGTTATATAGAATAAAACTTGCAACAAGATTTTCCCTCTACAAGTCTCATTTTCGACCAATCCGAATTACTAGAGAAACCAATTACTACAGAAAAAGAAGGTCGGTGCAAGTGCAGTCCAGTTAATATACCAGAACAAAATAGCATTTTTCTCCATTGTATATTCTTGAGAAATTATTATACATACAGGAGAAGTCACTGGTCGGGATCACTAGCGACAGCCCGCTGGTCGAAGCGGACTTTATGACGGATCGAGACTTCTGTCGAGCGGATGGTAACATAGATATGGCACTGAAGGACTCGAAGGAGTCAGTGCTGGAATTGTGCTTGCTGTCATCCGCCATAATATCTTTATTTGCTGCTGCAAGATCCAATCTGTGAGCAAAAAATTACGATTTTAGAATTACTCAGTACTTCATTATCTAATCATTAAATGAATTATACAGCCTTGTCCATAAATATAAAACACTCCCACAAATTGGTGTCTATATCTGATGAAAAATAAATTTAAAAAACAGTTATAAATAATATTTATATTTTCATAACAATCTTATTTTGTTAGTTCTCCTTTAGTTTTTAGTACCTTTTCCATGAAAATGCAATAGAGAATGTTTTATACTTACGATCAAAACTGTATATTAAATGAAAATGGCTATGCCGATTTCTATATAAATGACACGTCAATAAAATAAAAATTATACAAAGTAAAAAGTGTAATATATAAATTGATATTATGTAGAAGCTAGAATATAATTAAGGAAATAAACTAAGAAACAAATTAAACTAAAAGAAAAAAAAAGAGAAAGAGAAAAACAGTTATTGATATTATTGTGAGGATATTGAAAACTTACTCTGGAAAAATTAGCTTACAATTATTGAATCGTTAAATAAATCATAAATTAAATTTATTAAACACAAAAGCAATCTGACAGCTATGCCGATTGTTATACGGGGTATATTGAATTACGGGGGTTAATGTTGTAAAACAAGAACTAACACACATGATAAATTTGAATTGAAGTTATACAGAAGTTAGAAATGTGTATGAAAGTTAAGAGCAAGCTAATATAATAAGAGAAAAAGAGAGAGAGAAAGAAAATTGCGTTGCTGCGAGGATGTGACTGAATGACTCACATGTGTTCATCATCAACGGATATACTGAACCTGGGCAGCTTGTCACGGGAGTGCGTGTGTCGCTTTCTCTGGATCTGAGGGCTAATATCTTCGGACTCGGTTTGCGAGGAATCGGGCGTGCTTAGATTAATCGGCGTTCTTTCCGGCTGAGCGCTCTTGACGACCGACAGCTGCGGCTCGTTGCTCGACGAGGCCGCAGTGCCGGGAGTCACGCAGGACGACGGCGTGGCGTTGGGTTTGTCGCTTCTGTTTTGATTCTCAGCGCAGGAACTATTATTCTTCACTGACAACGAGGGCGGCCGGGCTGATTGTGCGGATTGCGGATTTGGCTCGACCAATTTGGATGGCGGCGCGACCGACGACGCGGCGGTCGATCCGAGGGATAATTGTGCGAACGTGCCTTCGAGTTCGGTACGGAACAGCTGTTTCTTGCTGGCGTCCGATTCTGCGTCAGAATTGAACTGAGGTGGACGCGTTTGCGAGATCTTGCGCGACTGAGGCGAGTAAGAGGAGAACGACCCGAATAAGGGGGAGTCATCGGTGTCGTCCGTGTCGTCGCCCAAGTCGTGATTGTACCTATCCATACGAGCTGAAACATTATGAGGGCAATATTTCAATAACGGGCAGAGATAAAATGGAAAATTATATATTGCTGTTACAACTATTCAACATAGATTCCAGCAATATATGTATATAAATATAAATTGAATGTAAAACGTTATAATGATATCGCAATATATCTGGTACTCACTATCAAAGTAACTTGTATCCTCGTCGTTGACTAATTGTGGCACAAACTCGGCTTTCTGCCTAAGTAAGCTGTTCCAGTTTACTCCGTAAAAATATGGATGCTCCTTGACCTCGTGCGACCCACCAGTTCCCAATCGATCTCTAGGACTCTGATGGAGAAGAGCCGTTATAATGTCCTTCGCCTCGGGTTGAACGAGCCAATCGTCTTCGTCTGGCCATTCGATATCGTCTAGGAAATAAAATTTCATTTATTTATCATACGATATATCCGCTTAAGAAAGACACTCCGGAGTGGATTCCAGCTTGTGTCAAGTTGGGTAGAAGCGAATAAAGAAAAATCACCGTTCACCGTGTGAGCAAATAATTCCTCGGGCGTCTCACCGAAGAATGGAACACAGCCAATTAGAAATTCGTATAATATAATACCCATGGACCACCAGTCAACCGGTTTACCGTAACCCTGCCGCAATATAACTTCCGGGGCGATGTACTCCGGTGTGCCGAACACTTGCTTGTCCGAGAACTGCCGCGTGTCTCGATCGATGTAGCCCTCGTAAAGATTTGTTGCCACTTGAAATTAAACGCGGACAATTATTCGTTATTTATTTCGCCCTTGATTACTCCAATTAAAGCTCTCGTACTTACAGGACATTAGACCCATTTTACTGAGCCCGAAGTCAGTAAGCTTGATGTGTCCCAGGGCAGTGATGAGTAAACTGTAAAAAAAAAAATAATTATAAATTGTAATTATTATTATTTGGTTTTTGTATATTGTAATGTGTTTTTTTTTCTATTTCACACGATCTCTTACTTATCAGGCTTCAAATCCCTATGTACAATGCCATAACTGTGTAAATATTCGACAGCCAAGACGGTCTCTGCGAAATAAAATCTTGCCATGTCTGGTGGCAGTGGACCTATATTTTTCAAAAGATTCGCGCAATCTCCACCCTCTACGTATTCCATTACTAAGCATAAGTGTTTCTGAAAGGGACACGCGATTGTTAGTGATTTAATGTAATATATCGTAAAAACCCGCGACATAAGGGAAGTGTAACACGCATACCTTGGTTTCAAAACTACAGTACATGGAGACTACAAATGGATTATCCGTGAAGCTCATTATGTCTCTTTCGGCGAACACCTGGTCCACTTGATTTCGCAGCATTAAATTGTTCTTATTGATTTTCTTCATCGCGAATCTCTGTCGGGTGGTCTTCTCTTTGACCAAATACACGGCGCCATACGCGCCATTGCTGATGAGCTTCAACACCTCGTAATCACTTTCACACGGAATACGCTGAGATTTGTCGTCGTCCTTGTTCGGACTCGACGTCACTTGCAGATTACTGTCGCTAGAACTCGCCGAATCCTCCAATTTATTCAGGTCTTCCTGCAACTCTGCACAGCAAGTTCCAACGTGAGAAGACTGAATAACAGATTAATTCGGGAAACACGTTGCGTTGTGTGATATAAAAAATTAAAAAAATATATATACCGGATATAGGATCTCTATTTAAGGATAGCTTTGTGATAATGTACTGAGGAATATCAGCTTTTATGCCCGCATTGACTTTAGCTTGGCCCTCCGCTTGTTCGAGTAAATGATAAAATTCCTCGGGATCGAACTCCAAGCACTCTAATAAACGCGCTGGCCGCGATATAACTAACAGCAGTTTCTTTATCAATCCTGTTAATCTCGCTGCCGCCTCTAAAGATTTATCTTTAGTCTGTAAAAAAGAATCGCCAATAATTTATTATGTGCCTCGATAAAAAGTGTAAGCACAAAAAGTAACGTGTGCGCACCTCCATTAATAGATGTTCCAGATTTTCGCTCATCTCGTAAAAGTATCTCGTTGTAATTAATTTTTCCTGAGATTTTTGCAAGCAGTCTCTGGCCATTTCGATTACTTGATGATGTACGAAGCGTAAAATTGGCAATGAATCTTGCGTCATATTGGCCACTACCTCGTATTCGTCTATCTCTTTGTTTTCATTAATAAAATTGGTCAGTCGCTCCTCCATCTGTTGCGTTGCCTGAAAATGTTAATTGTCACGATACAATCGACTATTTTGACAAACATTCTCCGACGAAAATTAATCGACGATATTATTTACCTTCGGAAATCTTTCTTTATACAAAGTATTCATCATAACGATTTCGCTGTCGAGAACAGGCGATCGACTTGGACTGCTGCAATTGCGTAACAGTTACAGATTAATATATTTGTCAGTTTATTCAAACGTGATTTGTCATCAATTAAAAAATTATTGAGCAACAAGCACTTTTATAACAGCGTACACGATCGATCATATGCGCAATACCTCAAACTTCGCGAACGTGGACGATGTAACGGCGATCGACGGCCTTCTTCCTCAAGGCTGAGAGACGCGCTACCCGGAATACTAGAGCCTGGGAAGCCCGGATGCGAGGAGCATGGTGTCCCGGGCTTGGAGAAATGGCAAGATAACATGCGTAGCTCGTCCTTGGTGGGAACATTTGGCAGTTGATGCAAACGTTCTTGGCTCGAGTATTGCGACTGGTGGAACATACAAATTGACAAATTACGATCCGCGGCTAGGCACGGACGGGAAGTATTTAAGCGCATACCAATTTCGATCTTACCGAAACATTGCTGGAGCCAGGTGTCGTTCCGTAGCCACTGGACGGTAAACTAGCAACTGACCATCTCCTGCCATCGCCAGTTCCTGTAGCACCTCCGCCAATTCTTGAATGTCGCAATATTACATTCGTTAAATAACGCCCTTTTCAAGAATCTTATACAAATTGACGAATCATTAAAAAAAAAAAAAAAAAAGGATTAAAACATTGCCCTTGAAGTTTCGACGCTGGTGTTACGCGAGAACTTACAAACATTTCCTTAGCAGACTTTCACGCTTTCTCACAAACCTCGCACAGCGTACTTTTTGCCTCGCCATTTTTTTCTCTATTTATATACGCGGAAGATATAATACTTACAAATGACGACACCTTATCTCTACTTGAGCAATCAGACTGGACTAATTTAAATGTCCTAAGACAAACGGTATAAGTGTAGAGTATAGGTACCTTTTAATTGGAGCAAAAGCAAAGTGTGGACTGGATGACATCCTAGGGCTCTCTAGAGGACTGCCTACAATCGGGACGAATGCTATATCGGGAAATAAGCAGTAGAAGAAATTAATCTGCTATGTCGTTGAATAATCGGGTAAAAAAATCGATAAAAAAAATCTTTCCACTAAGTGTAAGCGAAATTTATGCTGGGATGCAGAATTCTTTTAAAATCTAATTTATTTATGAGGGTACTATTGTAGATAAGACATTAAATTGAGATTAGTAGGACTTTAGCCGCGGAAAGTGAATAAAAGGAAAAGAAATAAGTTGTAAGATTGGAAGTAGGATAATAGGTAAATTAGGAGTTGATACGTATGAAATAGGTAAAATATAGGAATAAAAAATAGAAAAATATAAATGTTAAATGTAATAGCAGAGGCGTAAAAAATTATTTAGAAGTAAAGAGTGGTGTAAGATAAAATAGAAATGTGGGGAGATAAGTGGATAAAAAAAGAAGTCCCTTCTTTGGCTAACGGTAAATAATGCTGAACGAACAGGGGCGCAGATAACTAAGGTAAAAAAATTTTAAAAATATTCAGGATGAAATAAGGATACAAAAATTGTGAACGTGTAGAATAAGAGTAACAAAAGAGTTTAGAGGTAAAGAAAAGGTTTAGAATGTTTAGGAGGAAAAGGTTGTGTAAGATATATAAAAAAGGATAATGTAGGATACAGAAAATGGATTGATACACACACACACACACACACACACACACATATATAT